CAATTTGAGACACCAGGCCGCCACCCGCTTGCAGCTATACAATACTGTTGCAATACGTGGCTAACGCCTTGGAAGGAGAAGTTTGTATCTTGTTTCGTTAATCAATATCGCCACTTCGGGCGTACAACGACCTCGATCGTCGAGGGACTTCACTCTCATATGAAGAAGTTCCTTTGGTCCTGTACGGGCGATTTGACGACCGTTTTCCAACGATTCGAACGCTTCTGGGGCCATCAGGCTGCTCAGATCACAGCGATAGAGAATCGAAACCTCCACAAGATATCAACGTTCTCCTACAGGCGCCGTATATGCCGATCCGCGAGCGAGTATCGTCATATGCGTTAAAGCTACTAATAGATGAGCATCGCAAGATCCTCTAGACCCCGAAGTCAACGGGCCAAACCGCCGCCAGGTCAATGTCCTTGTAATTGGGCTACTAGTCGAGGGCTACCGTGCTGCCATCGAATCTTCGAGTCTATCAACACCAATACCTCCCTTACACTCGACGACTTCGACCCATTTTGGTATATTCCGATCGATCCAAGCGCTCAGGGCACAAGCCCTACTCGGGCACCATACGAGCCACAAGTTATCAGGGCTAAGGGCCGCCCCAAGGGCTCACTCAACCTCGAAGAGTCACGGCGGTCAAGATCAACGCGGCGGGGTCCGTCACATCACGAGATCGCTGAACGGCATGAGCGGGGTGAGGGTATACGACTGCCTCCTCCCTCAACGGCACCAGCGGCGATGACGGGTACGGTAACGGCCGCGATGACTTCAACGGAACGAGGGCTGCGGCACATCGAGGAAAACGGCGATACGTACGAGGCAGGCACACGGATGCAACGGGCGTATCAACAAGCCGGGCGTCAAACGCCAGTCTCTGATGATGACGATCAGCCGGTACGGCGGGAGACCCAAGACTGCATCTTCGTCGCTGGCCTCACGGACGATGCCGCCCTTGAGGATGTATGGGATCAATTGGAATCACAGTTAGATGAAGCGGATCAGGCACGTAGTGCACTCGAAGAAGGAGGCCTGTTGTAAACACCAAAGAATAGTCTCATCAGCATAGAAAGCGCAGTACGAATAGCTTCAATTTTGGGTGCCTTATCGTTGAAGGAGAACTGTTACTACCTGGCTCTACTTATCGTAGAGAATGTGTGCATACAAATTGGCGGTATCGGCCCTCTTCGGCCGTCAGCCACAGTTAATCCACTTTTTGGGTGTACAGTTAATGAAAGTGGGTGGATAGATAACTTGGGCCCCAATGTACGGATACCAGTCCAAATTTTGGCCCAGCATCGGATACTTTGGCAACATGACCGTTTCGAGTCCGGTAGCAAGTAGTCCCGCGACACACGATAGCGCGCTGCCTGACTATCAGCTGCTCCAGCCTGACTCTTGTTTCGTTGCCGCTTGTGTCGTCCAGAGTGGCATGGCGATGGCCCCCCTCTCGCTCGATGAACCTGTCCAGGCCCATCGCATCGTCACTCATCGTAGCGTAGCCAACAAGAGCTCGCGCGAACTTGTCTGGCTCGTCGTGGATATCGAATAACCCTGAGCTATACGGCCCGGACCGATCGAAGACCCAGAGCTCCATCTTGGAAGAGCAGAGCGAGAACGCGTGGACGAATCGGCGCGTCGGCTGGTCGGCGAAGACACCTCGTACATAGCGAGCAAGTTGGAGGAGATCCGCCTTCTAGGGAGGGAATCCTGGAGGGTCGAGACTCGAGACGGACGGACTTGGTTTGGACTTGGTTGATACCGTCCACTGATTGCCCCAACTCTCGCTCGATCATCTTGCGAGTATGAAAATGGGGTTTCAGAAGAGTAGAATTTCGTACAAGCCAATGGAATATTTCTGAGGGTGCTGCGTGCTTGTCGCTGGTGTTTGGTTGGTGTAGTTGGGAAAGGGAGAAGGGGTTGTCTCGGATCAATATTTAAGCGGTAGGTTTTGCCATCACCTTGCTTAAAACCTGCCGAAAGTCCCGCCCCGATAGTGACACGCCAGATTCTATCGTGTTTTGCAACTACATCGAGCGCATGGCCTTGGACCGGCATGTACGCGTACACTCGGTGCGGAGCCTGTGGTTTCCGCTTCGACCCCGGTGATTCGGTTTACGCATGTCAGTTGCGCCCTTCACTCGATGTCAATCTCGACTGATGCCTGAGCAGTCTCTGTCGCTGTCTTCGAAAATTGCGCTTTCCGGAATCCGGATACTGTGAAAATGATGATGATTCACCGTGGACGTTCTGCCGCCTACCTCATTGCAAATACTGCCGCTCATCACCAAATAGTGGCGTGGCTCATGCAGGGTGCCTAAGGGTGGTCCTTTCCGCCTTCAGTACCTTTAGTAAGGGGCTTCGATCTCTATGGCTCGCGGCGACTTGGAACACTCCTTGGCAAGGTGCTCTGCCACTCGACCTAGAACCCTCGGCCAGGTTTGAAAACGCAAAAGGGATATTGAACGACACGCCGGATGTCTTGGCACTGACTCCAGAGCTCCAATCAATTATATGGAAGTTCTGCTCGTCGAGCCGGCGCTGGGCATATAGTGCGATTCTGGACACTAAGGACCTGGCTGCGGCGGAGCATTGCGCACAGCTTTCCATCCCCCTTCTCGATATTGAGTCGTGGTCTCGTGGCGGCGAGGTGCGGCATCATTCTGGCTCTATGAACCCCATGATACGTCTGTCTTTTGACTGGCGTGGCCTGCGGCGCATCGAGAGACTGGGCAAGCTGAAACCACGACATGGTATGGGGTCCGACTTTGACGCATTCGTACTTGAAGAGACTGAGCGATTCGCTGGCGTTACTGTAGACTTCCAGGTTGGTCTTGACGAATGTTATTGAGATCCTCTACTAATTACTCCAGCGTGGCTTGGCTCGTTTGCGGCTGCCTGTCGGCGCCTCTCGTGGGTTTCGCCTGTGGGATACGCCAAATCCACCTCCTCCCGAGTGCTGCTTCACCGAGTCGTTCAATATCCCGTCGTCATGCCATCTTGGTACAATTGAGCTCAGTGGCTGCACGGGTTTGACATTATTCATGTCGCAGAGTTCATTATACGCCGTGCATCCCCACTCACATTGTTACGGTATCCACCTCCACATACCTTACGGTATCCACTTCCACATACCGTTACGTATATAGACCGCTTCCTCCTTTTCTTCAGTTCCTCTTCCTCTTCCCTTCTTCCTTAAGAAGTCGATAATTAACTATTCTTCCAAGTCCCTTCTGGTTATCCATATCGGCCTTGATCGTAACATATTATCGACTTCTTCACTTCCGATGGAGCGATATCTATCCTCCTTTTGAACACCTTTTCCCCTTCCAGCGGCACCCGCGACGTCTCGCATATTGCCCTGAATTTCAGTTACTTCTGGCATTGACTTTACTGAAACCTTGATACTTTTCTGGACGACTCTGATCACGAGTTCTCTGCCGCTCGGCTGCCTCGCTTTTCTTCCTCGCCACCCGTGACGCCCTAATCAGGCGCACCTGCACCGCCAGTCTTCACCAGTCGCCACAGTTGCGCTGCCTTCCACGGACCGACACGCACTCCCCGACGTTATCACCACTATCGGCAACTTTCTCAACATCATGTCCCAAACCAGTAATACCCCTGACGGCACAGCCTTCTCCGCCCCACCGCCCGTACTACCTACCTCTTATGACCCCAGTCGTCCCAAGGTTCGGCTTCCGAAATGGAACGGAAATCTCGCCGAATTCGACATCTATTCCTCGGCTTGATGAACATCCTGCCAACCCTCCACAAAAGAATCAGCTCGGAGATGAGCGTACCATCTGCATCACTATCTTCACCGAGTTACCCCCGAATGGCGCCAACCGGACCAAGGCTTGGATGAAATTGCGCCACACGGACGGCGCCTGGGATTCTGACAACCTCCTCAAGCACCTTAACGAGTCGTTCGAAGACAAAGACTCCACCCAACGCGCAGCCCGACGTCTGTATGCGGTCCGCCAAGGAGTGGCCCAGCCGTTTGCCCAGTATCGCCATGTCTTCGAGACATACTGCGCCGACGCCGACATCCTTGCCCTACCGGCGCCGCCAAAGTCAACACTCTGCTCCGCGGACTTTCTTCGTACCTCCGGGATGCCCTCGCCCTCCAGTTGGGCGTGTCATCTACCGATTACAACAGCTTTGTCACCATTGCCCAGGCTCTCGCCACCCAGTTAGAAGCACTGCCCCGATTTCAAGCCAACGCCAACGTTCAGAACCAGGTCGAATGGTATGACTCTTCCATCACCGTGGATCTCCTGCCAACCGCACCAACGGCCCCACGTCCCAAGCACCTATCCGCACCCCGGCCACCCAGACCCAAGTTGACCAAGACGGTGACACCATGATGAGCGAGGTCAACCAAATCAAGACCAACTCCTCCGCCGACCTTGTCTCTATTGTTCAAACTATAGTGGCCGCACTGGCTGGACAACAACAAAATGGGTCTAACAGGTCCTCGTCCAACAACAACGGTTCGGGCCGCAGCAAGTATACCGAGGACTCGCCCTCGGGCTCCGTGGGTCGACCAAACCACGCGTGACCGCCGTTCCGAGAACCGCCAGTGTGTTCGCTGTGGCAAGACTCTCTCATCGCTTCAGAGAATGTGAATACAAGAGCTTTCCACCCAACGCCCCTGCCGGTGTCAACGGCGTCAACACGAAGGCGGAAACGAGTAGCCCCTGAGAAAATCGTGCTCAGGGCGTGATGAAAGGATGTTTTCGGTGAAGACCTCACAAAAGGGCCTACGGAGAAGGATATAAAGTTAGCAAAGGACGGCTAGACAACACGCCGTTCTTGTTCGATGTGCTTATCAACAACACCTCGTATATCAAAGCTTTCTTCGACTCCGGTGTCTCCCATATGCAGCTTTCAGTGAGGAATTTGTCAGAAAACACCACATCCCACGTATCCCAGTCGAGAAGCGCCTTCTCAAACTCGCCAAGCAAGACGAAATACAACACGCCATCACCGACATGGCTTTTATCACCATGGATATCGACGGCCGCGCAGAGCGTCTCTACGGCTATGTGATCCCAGGCCTTGAATTCGATCTAATCCTTGGAAAGGGTTGGGCGGAACGAAATGACGTCGTATACAAAGCTGGAAAGCGCTTCTTGCAAATCGGCCGCGGCAACAGTCGCGTGAAGGTTCGTGAGAGTGGCTGGATGGACAAGCAACAGGTCATCGATCGTACCAAAGACCTGCGTGACGCGAGACTCGTTTCCGCCAGCGTCTTCATGGCGACAACGAAGCGCATGCGCCGCCTCAAGAAAGACGCCCACCTTTTCTCAGTTACCATCGCCGACATCAACAAAGCTCTCGCCAAGCTCAGCGAGAAGAAAGCGAAACCGACCCTTGAACAACTCCAGCAAGACGGCCGAATCCACAAGAGATCAAAGATGTAGCTGGCGATTTCCTGACGACGACGACGTCGATATCACACCACCGCACAGAGATATCTGGGATCATGCCATCAACCTCGAGAAAGACGACGATGGTCGTGATAAACGCCCACCGTTCGGACCACTCTACGAGATGTCCCGTGACGAGCTCCTCGTGCTACGAAAAACTCTGACTGACCATCTTGACAAGGGCTGGATCCGCGCCAGCAGTTCACCCGCCAGCGCGCCTGTCCTCTTCGCACGAAAACCAAGTGGCGGTCTTCGCTTCTGCGTCGATTACCGCGGCCTCAACGCCATTACGAAGAACGACCGTTACCCTTTGCCGCTGATCCGAGAGACCCTCCGCAACCTCGCCACTGCCCGATGGTTCACCAAGCTTGACGTCCGCGCCGCTTTTCACAGACTTCGAGTCCGACACGGCGACGAATGGAAAACCGCCTTTCGCACACGGTATGGCCAATTCGAATGGCTGGTAACACCGTTTGGTCTCACAGGCGCGCCCGCGACCTTCCAGCGCTATATCAACTCGCACCTCCACGACCTCCTCGACGAATTCTGCTCAGCCTACATGGACGACGTCATCATCTACAGCGACGGCGACTACCTTGACCACATGACCAAGGTCCGTACAGTGATGGAACGCCTCCGCAATGCCGGTCTTAAACTCGACCTCGAAAAGTGCGCTTTCGCCGTGAAAGAAGTCAAATACCTAGGATTCATCATCAAAGCCGGCGAGGGCGTGACGGTCGACCCGGAGAAAATTCAGGCTATTCGTGACTGGGAGGCGCCCACAACAGTGACAGGTGTCCGCTCTTTTCTTGGATTTGCTAATTTCTATCGGGAGTTTATCGAGACTTTCGCAGCTGTCTCTGAACCCCAATAACCTTACCAAGAAGTTGACCAAATGGAATTGGGACGCTTCAGCGCAGAACGCCTTCAACAAGCTCAAGGAACTCCTCATCACCTCACCCGTCCTCGCGATGTTTCACTCCGACCGCGAGACTGTACTCGAATGCGATGCCTCCGGATGGGCCGTTGGCGCCGTCCTCTCAGCGAGACGAAAGGGTAGACTGCGACCAGTCGGCTATTTTTCACGCAAATTCTCCGCTGCGGAGGTGAACTACGACATTCACGACAAAGAACTTCTCGCCATCGTCGCGGCAATGGAGCACTTCTCAGGCGAGTTACGCAGCGTTGACAAATTCATAGTCGTCTCAGACCACAAGAACCTGCAATACTTCATGACCAACCGCCGCCTCTCCGAACGCCAGGTCCGCCTAGCGGAAACACTCTCTCGGTACACGTTCAAGATCGTTTTCGCGCTGGGAAGGACAATACACAGCCGGACTTCCTCTCTCGCCGCGCCCAAGACCTGCCCGCTAACGGCGACGACGAGCGCCTTAAAAACCGCGAATTCCAGCTGCTTAAAGATCATTGGCTACCTCCACGCACCGTCAAGCATCACCAAGGCGACTACATTCTTAACCAACTCGTCAGCGCGGTACAGACGCGCCGCTCAAAACCACACCCATCGACGATTCTCAAGCCCCGCCCAGAGGCGCCAAACTCTTCTTCGACTCCGCGCTTCAGTTGCTCTGGGACCGCGGCCTGATCGAAGACGGCGAGTACCGCAACATACACGCCTCTGTTGTCCAAGGCAACGCCACCTTCCCTTCGGAATACAACCTTTCTGTCCAGGTACCTGACTGCGAAATCGACGACCGCGGAGCATTGCTCCGGCGCGGCGCTTTATGGGTGCCCAATTGGGAACCACTTCGGACGGCACTGATACAACAGACACACGACTCTCACATTACGGGTCACCCTGGGCGCGACGTTACGCTCAACATTCTTCAACGGAGCTACTTTTGGCCCCAGCAATACCTTATGGTTCGCCAATTCGTACGGAACTGCAATGTTTGCTCACGGTCAAAGTCGTGGCGCCACAGCCCACAGGGTCTCCTACGACCTTTGCCTATTCCGGACAGATTTCACAGCGAATTGTCTGTCGACTTCATGGTTGACCTGCCAGCTAACGGCAAAGGCCCCCGATTTCTGATGGTAATTTGTGATCGGCTGCTCGGCTCTTGTACACTGGAAGCTATGGATTCGATGGAAGCTGAGGCTTGTGCCGAGCGCTTTGTTCAGTGCCACTACAGATTCCACGGCTTTCCAAAGACGATGACATCTGACAGAGGCAGCAACTGGGTTAGCAAATTCTGGCAACGGCTTTGTGAACTCGTGCGCATTGAGCAACGTCTATCCACGGCATACCACCTCAGACCGATGGCGCTACCGAACGGATGAATCAAGAGGTCCTTGTTTACTTACGAATCTTCGTCGCCTACGCCCAGACCGACTGGGCAGGTCTTCTGCCAATGGCCATGCTCGCGATCAACAACCGCGATTCCTCTGTCACGGGTTACAGCCCCTTTTTCCTCACTCACGGGTACCACGCCGAGCCTATCCAACAAAACCAAATCTCATCTCGCTCCAAAACCGACCCCAAGGCCCGTGCCGACCACTTCATTGCCCGCCTACGAGAGGGTCAAGAATTAGCCCAAGCAGCGAAAGCGACGGCACAACAAATCATGGAACACCAGGCGAATAAAGGGCGGCGGCCAAGTCAAAAGTTCGTTGTCGGGGAGCGTGTCTGGCTGAATTTGAAGAACGTTACCACCCCCCAACTCAAAAAGAAACTCTCGTGGACACAAGCCCAGTACAAGGTCACCAGAGTCATCGCCCCTGACGTCTACGAACTCGATGTCCCTTCCAACATACACCCGCGCTTCTTTGCTGACCTCCTTCGCAAAGACCCTAACGACCCTCTTCCATCACAAGTACAAGACGACACACAACCACCACCGCTACTAGACGGTACCGTTCCAGTGTATTCCGTGGAGAAGGTTTTGCGGGCAGAATGCCACCCCAAGGGCCGAGAACTTCTCGTCAAATGGGACGGATATATCGAACCCACGTGGAACCACGTGACAACATCAAGCTTACGGACGCCTTCAAGAGGTTCGTGGCAACATACGGAGAGGGCGACGACGTGGGTGAAGACGAAGGCTCTCGTACAGGGTCTACGAGTAAGCGCCGCAAGACAAAAACACCAAAAGTGGTGGCTTTGTCGTATATCATGGGCTTCAGTGGGTGCGCTTTCAAGTCGCTTAGGGCCTTTTCTTTCTTCCCCGGAGGAAGGGGGTGATGTTACGGTATCCACCTCCACATACCTTACGGTATCCACTTCCACATACCGTTACGTATATAGACCGCTTCCTCCTTTTCTTCAGTTCCTCTTCCTCTTCCCTTCTTCCTTAAGAAGTCGATAATTAACTATTCTTCCAAGTCCCTTCTGGTTATCCATATCGGCCTTGATCGTAACACACATCACCGCCCATGCGCTCAGAGTACCTTCGAAACACTGCCAACAGCAGAACGTTCAAACGTCTGTTGGCTTTATGTTCCCGTAACAGGAGATATTACAAAATTTTGCTACAGTTTCGTACCAGAACGAGCTGGAGACTGCACTAGGTCCCAGAGTTTCATCGTAAGTTCCAGATCAACCACCACCCGGTTCGGCCCGCTGATCGGCCGAAGTTAAGCACCTCGAAATGCGAGGAAGTCTTTATTGCACACGTACCTGGAGATGCCTACGCAATGATTGAAAACCCCTCCACACTCATACACGATAAACCGGACAATCTGCCAATCGCCTTCGTTGGGGCTTACTCGGACTTCGGCAGCAAACAATGCATCACGGCCCTTCCTCGCGACCCTTGCCCATCAACAGTTGTTAATCCTTTCTGCTCCGCAGCGTCGCTGGGTGGGATCAGAATTATCCAAGTTTTCTTCGCTGCAAACACGCGCGGGATACTTCTCACGTATGAAACCGGTGCACAATGCGCTCTAGGCCAATGCAAACTTGGTCTCGATTCAGTCAAGAAATACGAATCCCCGACGCATTTGTGTTTCGCGAATGTTACGGGGATACAGCCTCACGTGGAAGGTGAGAGCGAAGGCGTTACAATTCTGTGCACCACCTTCTCTCAACCTCACGAACACGGCGAATCTCGCTGGACATGCTGCGGCATGAGCGGATTCCTACGTTGCGTATTGCGGGAAGAGGGAGTGCAACTGCAACATTTTGGCAGCAAAGAATCTCTGTTACGCGCAACGACTGAATAAAAGGCGTCTTATTCTCGACCTGGGTTTCGAAACAATGAAGACCACTTTTGAACAGTATTTCTCGGGGGATTCTAACAGGCCACCACCTCTGCCTAGCAGGCCACCAAAAATGGGTCCGATGTGGCGCAGTAGCCTTTGGCATCAGCCCGCCAATTTTGTGCACTTCCTCCGCACCTACTGCACAACATACTTCATATTGAAGTGATCAATTGAAGCTATCATGAGATAATTATATATAGCCCTCATCTATAAGGTCTTGTAATAGCCGCTCGTCTGCCTCAACCGCTGCATCCACGTGATCCCAACTTAGCTCATTGGCAGCCGCTGTAGCTGTGGCCGCTACTGGCCCTCTTTGCCGCCTTTGCGACGCCTCAACAGCAGCAGGGGCGCCCTGTGTAGCAAGCTCATCCTCTGACTCGTCGTTTGAGGACATTGCGACCACGATTTCTGACTGAATAGAGTCAAATTCGTGGTATTGAGAGTCGTCGCCGGCGCAGGCGCCTATATCATCGTCATCGCTAGCATCAGAAGGCGTGCCGGCACGCTGATATGCACGAGGCATCTCTGTACCTGGCTCGTAGGGATCGTCTGCCACTATTGCCGCCGCTGCCGCTCTTGTGGCCGCTGCCGCTGCTCTTGCCCTTGGGGCACCGCGCCCTCGTGTGTTCATCGCTGCTGGAGCTGTTGACGGCGGCGGCATTACCTCGGCGCGCTCATGCGCTTCAACAACCTCGAATTCGCAGGGATTACGCCTTGTTCCTCGTTGCCCAAGAGCACCCTTTGGCCTGCCTTTGGCTCGAATTGTCAGAGGCTCGTACGGCGCCTCAATTCGTGTGGGCGGTGCTTGGGGGCTCGTGATGCTAGAATTCGTTGAAATCGCTTTGTAGGAAAGGTAGGCCACTATTCGTTCGAGTGAAGATATCATGCCGGCAAGGCAGCCCAAATGAGGACTTGAAGCCACAGGGAGATCGATCATCACAACGCCCAGGCGGCTGTTGTAGCTGGTCCCCTTTCTTCTTGATTGTGGTCTCTTCCTCTTGCATTAGCTCAAGGGCTGTAGACCATACCCTTTCACGGACCCTGATATAGATGGGCTTGAGGCTGAAGGTTGATATCTTGTGTAGGCTATTTTTCGCAATATATTCGATCTCAGAGGACTGGTCTTTCCAGAAGCCGCAGAACTTGTGGAAAATAGAAGTCAAATCGCCTGTTGAAGACCAAAGAAACCGCTTCATGTGTGCATGGAGACCCTCAATAATAGAGGTCGAAGTGTGGCCGAAGTGATGATGCCGGTTAATAAAGCAAAGAACAAATTTCTCTTTCCAGGGCTCAATCCATGTTTTAGTAGCGTATTTGACAGCCTTTTCTGGGTGCCGGCCCGGAGTCTTGAATGCCTGAAGTTTAGTATTAAATATAGCCTCGTTTGGCGATGCTATGAGCTCTGCCCACTCTTGAAGAAATTTCTCAAAGCTAGGGGCTCGAACAACATTACCGTGGGCATCTTTCGTAGCCTTTGCAAAGAAGCCCTTGCATTTTGCAAGCACATTCTTCTTAATGTGCCAACGGCAAAGTAAATGAGCTGATCCCGGCATTAGCTTTAGGGCGTTGATGAGGGCCACATCACGGTCAGAGACTGTAACCCGTGGTGTTGCAATTCCTTCTTCTGCTGCGAGATTAAGAAGCTGCTGTATTGCCCACTGATAATGGCCCTCGGTCTCGCCGCTAAGGAAAATCGAGGCTATTGAGAATGTCTTCTTTTGTGGCGTGGCTCCGCATATATTTAATAAGGGCAAGTTGAAGCGATTGGTCTTATATGTGCAGTCGAACACCATAAGATGCGGGAAGCGGCGCCACAGCTTCACGCCGCTAGGTGGCACGATCAGAAGATTAGAGAGACGGCCGTCAGGATCCCTTGAATCCCTAAAGAAGAAGCCACGATCCTGTAGCTGATCGTAGAGGAATTGAAGCGGCGTACGCCCAGCAAGCTCTTCTCGGCGATGTCGTGCAATCACATTGTGTATCTGCTTCTTTGAGATGCCGGCAACATCAGGGTCTTCAGCGGCACGCCCTCGTAGCTGTGCTGCAATATAAACTGGCCGTAGGCCATTATTATATTGTGTTATGATGGCATTATGGTATCGGCTCGTAATCTCAGCACGGTATTTGCTATGTGTAATAGCAGGGGTGAATTCGTGGTTGTGACTGCCGCTTGCCTGGGCAGTCCAATATGGCGGCGTGGCCTCTTGGTGTAGCTTCACAGACACAAGGAAGCTACACCCAGTCATCTGCGTATTTGTCTTACGCCGCTTTGACCTAGGGATAGCCTCATTACCCTGGTCATGCCAAATGCGCCCTTTGGAGCATCTCAGTAGCACGTAGGTCGGAGCAGCAGCGTTGGGGCGCTTATTGCGGATTGCAAGGGCAAATCCTCTTCGCGGGCTGCAGCGTTGAGGCATCGCCAGCAGCCTGAAAGGTGGCATATTGACGTGAGAAACAGTATTCATGATGGCGGCGATAGCTTCAATTTAATGCAGAATGCGTTGAGGGTGGCGATGGCTTCACTTCAATATGAAGTATGTTGTGCAGTAGGTGCGGAGGAAGTGCACAAAATTGGCGGGCTGATGCCAAAGGCTACTGCGCCACATCGGACCCATTTTTTGGTGGCCTGCTAGGCAGAGGTGGTGGCCTGTTAGAATCCCCCTATTTCTCCGTGCCCGCCTGCTTTCATGGTGCGTGAAAGCACAGCCCCTCCAATAGCCCAGAGACCATACAATGCTTGGTCGTACTGACACACGGGGACTCTTTGTTGTGGAGCTAATACCAAGACGACGTCGCGACGTTCGCCGCCGTATATTCCTGAGCGACCTCGGCGTGAGCGTCGACGTATAATTGACGGAGCGTCTTAGGGTCTGGGACAGCGATCTCTTTGACCTTTTGAAAAGCCCAGGTGAAGTGGCTCTCGCACTCGACGATGTCTGCATAGGCATCTCTGTCGCCTAATTCCCCTTCAAAAGGGTAGAAAGGCGCGAGATACTTGCTCTTGCGCTCGCATGCCCAAATTCGAGCTTTGGTACCGAAATAGGTCATCGCCCAGACGGACTGAAGTTTATTCTCCACCAGATACTCTTGACACAGCTGGTGGGCCTGGGCTTCAACCCTGGAGATGTGCGAGGGTGAAGCCTTCCCTTTCTTTGCCTGTCCGATCAAACGAAATTGCAGAACTCTCGCTTCGGTGTTGTAGTTTTGGACAGAGATGTCCATCCGAAGTTGACTATGAGTGTCTTTGGGAGGAACTTCAGTCCCAAGTATCCATTCGGGCTCAGTGAAAATGTGCCGGGTCATATATCGTAACATGAACCGGTTTGTGGCCCATTCGTCGTGCCTCTGAGCTTCCTCTTTGAGGGTCCACATTATGGGATCTCGTTCAAAAAGTGTACTCATGATGATGTGTCGATTCGGTTCTTTGAAAAATCTCTAGGAGGTGCAATGGATGGGATGTTGTCGAAACTTGGGTTGGACGCTACAGGTAAAGAAGTTCAAGAAAGCAGCCCACGCCATGACACCATTTATACCCCTGAGCCATCCGTATCCTGACGCCTTGTCACAACTACGAATGGCCTGTTTGTCCCTCTTACACGGGGCCGCTCTAAGTCTCTGTCCCGTAGGCGAATGCGCTGAGCCCGTCGTGCCCCACAGTGATCTCCCGCAGAGAGTCGCCCAACCGGTCAAAACAGCCCTTCCACCGGGTGTTTCTAGACGTTTTCGCCTTCTCTGCGGCTTACAATGGTCATCGCTATGTTCTCCTTGTCACGGATGAATATAGCGGAATGATGTTCTCATGGACGATGGCGTCAAAAACCGAGTGCTTCCACATCATTCGGAACTTCGAGTCATCAATCAAGCGTCATTGTGGAGTTGTGATCTGCAAAATCAGGATGGATAACGAGAGAGCGCTGGTTAACTTACCGGAACAGTGCGACTCGGAATTCCAGTCCTGGGCAAAGGAAGAAGGTATCGAGATCGAGCTGCCGCCCTCCCACACAAAGGAGCCCACAGGGGGAGCAGAGAGACCAGGCGGCATAAACCAACAACGCCTGAGATCAATGCTTGGCGAGCTTCCTCGTGACCTTTGGCCTGAAGCCTATCAGACCGCAGTCAAACTTCACAACATCCTTCCAAGCCGCAGAAATCAGTGGAAAACCCCTCAGGAATCATGTGATCAATGGTTCAACAGGCATCTCCGCTGGTTTGGCAAGGTAGGGACAGATATTAACTATGAGAAAGATTTACGACCAGAGTGGAGAGGTACGCTTTCGGATGTCGAGCGTATCCTCTGATAAACGACTACAAGGCAGGCATTTCCAAAAACGCCTTCAAAGTCAACCCCAGAGCACATGTAGGATATTTGGTTGGCTATCACAGCAGCAATATCTACCGCATCTGGGTTCCCAAGCTTCGGCGGGTAATTCTGTCAAGAGATGTTACGTTCAATGAACATCAATTCTTCGACCCTGCAACAGAGGACCAGCAAATCGCGATACCGGAGTTCAAGCCGACCGTTGAGGCTATTGAACTGCCTATCCAACGAGACTGGAACGCGATATTGGATGATTTCCTGCAGGAATTCGATGAACAAATCCTTGAAGTTAACCCCGTCGGTTCGATCTCGGGGGTGGAGGGCCAGAGCACCGCATATCCCACGAGATTAGCTATCTCGATGGACGATCAGATGCTTCGTGCAGAGCCAGAACCTGCCCCAAGAAGAGATCTCACGCCGGAGGGACTAGACACGTCGACTACCGCAGAACCTCTGAGAGTTGCAAACTCGGGGGCAGATAGCGGCTCGCGTGGTCCCCCTCCATTTTTCGCAGACGAGGGACTAGATGTGCCGACTACCGCAGAACCTGAGGACGCTGCACAACCTCAGGCAGATAGCGGCTCGACCAATCCCCCTCCTTTCCCTATTCCAGAGGGACTTTCCGCCGAGGGACTAGACACACGGACTACCACAGAACCTTTGGACGCTGCACAACCAAAGGAAGATAGTGGCTCGCGTGGTCCCCCTCCATTCACGCCCGAAGCAACACCTAGGCGACCTGGACGAGATTTATCGATGTCGCAGGGGTTAGGCTTCGAGGCACCATCTAACGAGGGTTCAGACGGTGTAGGATCATCTGATCACATGTCTGACAGTCCTGTTAGAACGCCTTCTTCGCTTCCAACTTCTTCGCCACACGTGGAGCTTGGCACACCGACCTGTCAGATGAGGCCACATCTGAAGGGAGTACAGGGCGGCCCAACTGCCAGCAACGGCAAGACAGGAAGGAATAGCAACCCAAGGGGATGGCTCAGTCGACAGTGCCGACGCGGTCGACGCGAGCACGAGGACAAGGCGACCTCGCAGGACCCGAAGGGAGCTATACGGCAAAGAGCCCACCCGACGGAGCTCACGCCACCCGACAACGAAGCAACAGGATGCATTTGCTGCATTGCTTCCGGAAGGTCTCCCGGAAGGGGACCTTACCACTTTTCACAGCGTGTTTGCAGCGGCCACAGAAGGGGCACACATATTGCACCGTGACGGATTAACCCGCCTACCTCGACGATATCAGGACTTGGCCAATCACCCACTTGGGAAGGAGTTCAAGGAAGCATGCCGAAAGGAGCTTCGAGACCTTCTCAAACGAGGGACCTGGCGCCTGATCGAACGGCAGAGAGCCCATGGAATCCCTATTCCTCTCAAATGGGTCTTCCTCTACAAGTTCGACGAAAATGGGTATCTAACACGATGCAAAGCCCGGATCTGTGTGCGCGGCGACCTCCAGGGAGATGGAGGAGAAGAAACATACGCCGCGACACTTGCTGCAAAGACCTTCAGGACCGTGATCTCCATCGCGGCGAAATACGACCTTGACGTTCGGCAATTCGATATAGCCAACGCCTTCCTCAATACCAGCCTGGACAAGGAAAACAAACCAGTCTACGTGGAGCTCCCAAAGGGCTACGTAGAACTAGGTTTTCTAAGTCAACTGGAGGATTCCACCATGGTTGCAGAGCTTGATAAAGCTTTGTACGGACTTCGCGAGTCACCACTGCTATGGTATAACGAAATCGCACAGACTCTGAAAGAGAAGCAGCTGGAACGCACCTCTGAAGATCCCTGTGTCTTTACCAACGGCAAGATCATCGTTTTGATCTACGTGGATGACATCTTAACGCTTAATTATTGTCCATACTTTCTAGTATGGACAATATGTACCTAATATGGAAAGACCCTTGCAATACAGTATGGAAAACCACCCTGGGTGCACCACTGAAACAGGGACCTCGAAGGCCCGTTTGAGAGGAACGGCGAAGGCCAGAACATCGGATGAGTGCTTTGACGTGACAAGGGTTCTGAAATGACTCAACGAGACTGGTCCCACCCCCACGATAATATCCACGAGTCGTTCTGATTCGCAAGCCCCTGATCAAGGCAAGTATCGGCGGGCCAGGGGAGAGATGACACCGTAGTCGCACGCGAGAGCACTCGGGAACGAATTAAAAGCCAGGACTGAAAGTAGCTCTATATAGAAGAGGCGTGCAATCATTCGACCGGCAGCAGCCTGGAGGATAACGGCGTTGTGGTCCTGGCCTAGATACGGAACGAACATGGTTACATGGTGGCGTGATTCCTTTGTGGCATCTCTTGAATGCAGGAGCACTTGGGCTTTGGCTTTTGCGGCCTTTGCGGCACAGGGGCATATGGATTGAACATGAGTGGAAATCCCATAACGCGAATAGGTAGAAGAAGTATAGGCATCTTCTGATTAGAGTTAAGGAGTACAAATAGAGAGCCATCAAAGGTATGGGAAGCCATCCCTAGTTATCAAGTCACCTGCCCTTTTCTCCGCTCGCGATCACCAGTCAGGCCTCCAGCAGCAAGGGGCTGTGAAAGATTATTGCATTGTCGAGCCGCCCCTTGACACTCTTCACCCTGAAGAAACGGGTTGCAGGGTCCTGGCCCCTTGGCCCATACTCACAAAATATCCACCCATTCCCCAAAGGGTGCCTGCCCTGATCCCAGGAATAACCAGTCACTCTCCCTACGGCCTGGATCTGCACCGAACTTCCTCATCCATTGGCTTCGTCCGTAACCCAAGACTAACAGGCGATGCTCCACGATGCGGAGCTGGTATGCACTTTGCCAGGCTGGACTGATGAAACCAGGGATATCGTTCCAACATAGTGCACAGGATCGTCCGTAAACGCACGATTGCTTAGATGCACCACATGCACTGTCTCATCATTCCGGCCATGGCTGATTTGCCGAGCTAATCATCGGCCAAACCTCCGGGGGGACGGAGATGCATTGACTTTTTGGTGTCATCCTAAGGGAATTGCAGACGTGTTGGCTGCAGCCTTGAACAAGATACTGATCGCCGAGGCAGTATTCATGGTCACTGTTGGGTGAGACCGTCTGGAACCGAGCACCCCACGTCGCCTTCACAAGGCATGACCGTGGATACAACCGAGAAAGGCATGGAGGTCGCATGCGAGCGTCCAGCCGTGAACTTGTTTTGCTTCTTGTGTGGCATCCTGCTGCATCGTTCATGGAAGATCCAGCTGAATGACAATTGCGTTACAAGGTCAGTAGTCCCACCCCAACCTTTGAACTACCTAGAGGTGCCGAATCCAGTCACGACAAATAACTTGGCAAGGCAGAGTGGGTGCTTATGTTGCAAGGGCTGTCAGCCGCAGCGACGAGATTCATGACGTCGTTCATCAGACGGAGCAATCCACCCGCATGCTACGTCCGAGTGGAGCAAGAAGGACAGCGTTTATAAGCTGGAATCCGATCCCCTCTGCTCATCCCAGAACCTGAGCTTAGACTCATTCCTTCATACGTTCGCCATCCTCCGCTTGAACAGTTGTCGACTACAAATCTTTCAGTTAACATGCCATTTCCATTCCACCTCTTGTGTGAACTCCTCAGTGAACTCGAAAGAAATCACACAAGGTCTTTCAGTATTCAGAAGACCCAGGACTTCGATGTACGCTGTCTTGTTGGCTGGTTCGACAAACACGATGCAGCCATCCCACGTCTAGGGCCAGAAGCCGTGGCATTCTTGTCATGCCTCTTTCCCGAACGCAGGCCAGACCGGGTTTTCGGCTTGTCAAAAATGCAGCTCGAAAGGATTGTCCAACGAGCACAATGTCTTGGATCGTCCCGAATGAAGGAGCTACAGAGATGGCAAACCAGGAACGGCCCGGACTTCGCAACCTGTGTTGAGCGCGTTATGGCTATAACCGACTGCGAACCAAGGATGGGTCCGAAGGTGACTCTGCAAGAACTTGACGATGTGCTCGATCGGATTGCAGCCTTCTCACCCTTCTCGTCCGCTGATCTGCGAGAAGAAACTGAGCGGAAATACTGTCAACCCTGTAGCAGCTCGGGTGATCTGCTCGTCACTTTGTTCCGAAGACTGAACAGCTCTGAGGCTAAATGGCTGGTTCGCATGCTATCCAAAAACTACAATCCCGCCTGTGTCCCGGAAAGACTGGCGATGAGCAGATTTCACCCGTTTTTGGGCAATCTCCTCCGTTTTCAGAATTCAATCCCAGTCGCCGTCAGTCTCCTAGGGGGACAACACATCCGGCATACACCCCGCCAGGCTGTGGTAAATCCCTGGGAACAGCTGAGGGAACTCCTACGGCCGCAGGTTGGAGTCATGATTGAGCGGCCAGCCTATGCGAAAGCAAGGAGCATCAGGCATTGCTGCAACTTGGCTGGCGCAAGACTAATGAGCGTGGAGCGGAAATACGACGGAGAATACTGTCAACTTCATGTTGATCTAAGCAAACCCGGAGCCTGCATCAAAATATTCTCCAAGAGTGGGAGGGACTCTACCATCGACCGCATTGGCCTTCATCGTGCGTTAGGAGACAGCCTCGAACTTGGTACAGCAGACTGCAGGATCAAGAAACAATGCATACTGGAGGGCGAGCTACTGGTATGGAACGACGACAGTAAGGAAATCGAGCCCTTCCACAAAATTCGTAAACACGTCAGACGATCAGGACGGATCTTTGGAGCGGCCCAAGACCCCCCCGCCAATGTGAATGAACATCTCATGATCATGTTCTACGATCTTCTGTTACTGGACGACACGGTCTGCGCTAGAGAAAGCCATACTAAGCGGCGACGACTACTTCAGTTTCTGGTTCGTCGGATCCCTGGTCTTGCCGAGGTCGGATTCCGCGAAGTGGTTGAATTCTCCTCGGCTAATGCTGCTGAGCGGCTCACTGAAGTATTCGCGCGAGCCATTACACAACGGTGGGAAGGACTGGTGCTGAAAGGTTGCAGCGACTCTTACTTCACCCCCGATTGCGACAAATCATTCATCAAACTTAAGAAAGACTACATTCCAGGCCTCGGTGACTCCGCCGACTTCACCATCATCGGCGGAAACCACAGCGCGGAAGACGAGCAAGAGATTAAAATGGGCAAGCTCTGGTGGACGTCATTTTATATCGGATGCATGGAAAATAAAGATGAGGTCTGCCGGTATAATTCTAAGCCAAGACTTCGCATCATCGACATCATCGACAGACATGGCATCCCGAAAGACCATATGGAATATCTCAACCGACATGGATACTTCACACAAATACCCTTTATTGAGTCCACGCCAGATTTTGACGTGGTCTTGGACCCCAACCGCGGACTGCGCCCAAAGGCGTTATTTCAACATCCGTTTATAGTAGAACTCGTGGGAGCTGGCTTCGACAAGCCCGCAAATGCTCGATACTATACTCTACGGTTTCCACGAGTGTTGAAGATCCATGAAGATCGCTCGTTCACTGCTACTACTGGCTTCGACGAACTGCAGGGAATGGCTCAAAAATGCTCAGAGATACCTGACAATTGCGAAGGAGAAGAAAAGTCCTGGCTAAGAAGGTTGTGAGGTCAGAGGCAATGGTTTGGGACATCAAGGCTATCTTCTGGCGTCGACTCAGTTTCTTTGGACATTCGAGCCACAAGCCCAGGTCGGAGGCAACAGGAGAATGGGGGAAGAGCGGTTGAGCTCCTGAGCCCTAATAATGTTTCCGTCGATTCATCGAAGAGAAGGATGGATTCGGACAATACATGGCATGGTACAGCCAAACGCATAAAACAAGACTAGAAAATATGTGTAGCCATATTGAAGACTTAGGTACGCAATGGGTGGGTGATCATCAAGATTCGGCGTTTGGCAAGAGAGAAAAAGCACTGTGGCTACCTTGTACAACAGCATTCAAACCGGCAGGGCGGTTGCTCTGCTACGGTCCTGTACTGTTGTCGAGAAGAAGGGTCTGCGAACTTAGACCGTAAGCCGAAAGTCTGCCAAAAGAAAGGAGGAGGCTGGTAGGAGGCTGGAAAGGCTTGGAGCTGAGGGCTGACGTGGCCGGTGAGGTAAGGGCAAGGAAGGTTATAAAAGGGCCATCTAATCATATGGAAAGGGATAGGACAGAGAGAGACATCAATTGATCCCCGAGTAGCCCCATTATCACCTTTCCATAGGTACCCCCTTGCCCCGCTCTCCTCGCGAGAACTGTACCACGTTCTGTGAATGTTGGCCATGCGACGCAGTTGGGATTCCTACATCCGTATGTCTTCTATTGGCTCCGAACACCTTTGTCTGGAAAAACAGTGCAAAATATTGTCATTAATTGACCACCTTCACACAGGACACTTCTAGGCTAGGGCTGTCCGTGTGAGTCTGGAAACGCAGCCCGAAATCTCCGGGTTGCTCATCTGTCGCAGGCTGAGTCCCTATCGAACGAAGCAATTCTACATGCAACTTCCGGTCGTTGCCTACCATAAGCCATGGTTCATTAGTAGGCTTCGGAGAATGCAGCGACTGCTGTGGCTGCAAGTCGACAAATCGACAAGGAGGTTACTACGGGACGGGTGGACGGATATGTAATCACATCGCTGCTGAATGGCTCAAGGAGTCTAGTTGCCTCAAACGCAACCTACTGACGAATCTGAGGCGAAACTTGTTATTCTGCATTATATCCGGAGGGAATCCCCTATAGTGCCTCTGCGCTGAGTGACCTACAGTTACGACACATTCCTGTTGCTCGTTGTCTAGCCTCGGTCAATCTCGCGAAGGAGAGATCAAAAGTGGGCATAAAAGTGAATAAAGGGACTTTTCGTAGGTAGATTCTCAGATGATATGATAGTCTGTGATGTGCATGTGTTGATTGCTCTGCCCCCGGTTGCCCCTTTTCCGTCCAAACAGCCCCTTTTGTATGCCTCCAAGCTTCTCCCAAGTTGATATCCCGTTTTCAGGTATAGTATACATTCTATCAGGAAGAGGGCACCTCTTGCCACTTACTGAAGGCCACATGAGTCATCTACGTCAGCAACATCAGCTCCATTTCCCCGATCAAATAGCTCTTCTAGCTATTAGATAGATAGTTCAGTCTCTCGAGGTCCCCGAGCCAGTAATAGTTATGCCGGACTCTTCAAAGGGTCCCCGTTAGAATAGGAGATCCTCCGGACCCCTCAGTGGTCTAGGTAGTAGAAACAACAGTCTGCAGACTTCCCTTCTTGCCTGGTTTCAAGCTGTATTACCTAGAGAGACCTAGAGAACCCACGTGGGCACCGTTCTTGTGTATATAACTGGGACCTTCGTCCAATCGTCCCCTTGACTTGGGCAGTGGTCAAGGCCAATAGACTCTCTATAACCGTCATATGCATGGCATCTCTCATTTCCTCTTAACAATCCGCACATAAGTACCAAGCTATTGAATATTTTGTCTATCTCTCCATCATTCCAAGAAAAGTTATCGCCTTAGTATACTCGGTGGTAAATCAAGCCCATGTCGAGACGCATGGTTTGCGAAGTGTTCTGCGTCTGCAAGAACTGCTTCACAATTTTCCCAGGGGCATAGAAATGCCGTTCGTTTCATTTTGAGATGCTGGCCCCGAATATGTCTTGCCAGGTTACTCAGTCGCCATGTTTTAATCCGTTGGCCCCTTCCATGGCTGCCTTGCCATCGACAAAATGGGCACATTGGTCTTGCACCCTCCGACAAATCCACCATAGACTCACTTGGTTTTCCAGGTGATTCCAGTTCCGGAATATTTTCCTTACCGCCATGTCCATAGGTTCCTTGCGCGCGGTAAGAGCGGAGACGCCTCGTGACCGCTTGTTTGCGGCCTCTTTTCTCTGTCCCACGACAAGGGCTTTCGCGTCGCTTGCAAAGCTGGGCGAGCGCAGATATCAAATCAACGCGTAAAGAGTGCAAAGACTCCGTGTCTGTTAACTCAGCCGCCCGTGAAAAGAGAGATGCAACCTGAGCCCGCTCTGGTAAGTCATACCGGTACTCTTTGTTCGGCGGTGAAATGACATCGGCAGGCCTTATACCCCGGAGTTGTCGGTTAACCTCATCCACATGGACATTGGTGTGAAAGTCTTGAATGGCTTTTTGCAGTAGAGACGCCTTCAAGACCCTGCGCAAGTTGTTAATCTTCTTGCTGTAGCGGTCGTATCGCTTCTGCATTTCGGTGCCTTCGGCGTGTTCTCGGCTGCGGTAGCCCTGGCGTTTCCATTCTAGCATCACACGGTTTCTCTCGGCACGATATTTGGCAAGTTTCTCGTTTTTATGGATTTTCGCAATTTGTTGGACTGTCAGTTCTTTTGGAGCGCCGTCATGGCGGCGAAGGCGGGCGGCTAACTGCACAAGGTCGTGTTGCGGGGCTGTGCTACGGAGGACGATAGGGGACACTGTTGCAAAACTCCCTTTTGGGTCTAGGCTCCCCTGGCCCCGGTCATATGAGTACCTCGGGTTGGTGTGGAAAATGTACCGCGGACTAGCAGCGGGCCCGCACGTTGACGCTCCTTTAGTCCGTTCACTACCCTCCGGAGGCGGCGATGGTCCAGCGCCATGGTCTTTCGCTTCCCAGGGCTCTTCTCAGCTGTCTCGTCGAAAGAGGCCAAGCGGGATGTTGCAATCAGCGACAGGCCATATCAGTTATTCTAGCAGAAGTGCTGTTGGGATGTGCATCTCACTTTTGGCTGGATGATCCATTCGACACGGAGCTGGTCCTGGAGCGGCAGCAAGCTCGTAGTTGTTGTGATGCGCAGCAGTACGCCAGGTAAGGTGCCGATTCAGCCCCTAAAGACACGTACAGCATCAATAGAGAGACCTACAGATTCAAATTGATCAATGGCTCGTCACTCTTAGCAGGCAGAAAATCCTTCACCCTTTGCGCAGTCCCAACACGCAGCGCCAGTACTGTTCCTTGCGCGTAAGCGAAACAGGTATACACTTTTGACGAAATTTAACTTGGGCACATTCATTCCCAGGGCCTTTAATGCCTCGTGTGACGCGGGGACGGGATCGGGTGGGAGGAAATAAAGAACTAAAATTGAAAGAACAGTCTCTGTCAATATTGTTGTACTACGAAAGGAAAATTATCCTAATTCACTGGCGGCACTCTCAGGAGTAATACCTTCCCGAACGAGCAGTATTGATCCTATCCCTGGTTCGGTGGCAGCAGCCCCTGACGCTAGGCCGGTGCGGGCCAAGTGTAGACCCCCCCCACCAGTACTTGGCCGCTTTCTACGAAAATTTTCTCCACTTTCAACTTCCACCAAACGCAATGGCAAGGCCACCTAACCCGATCGATCAATATCGTGACTATGTCAGTTTCCTCTACCTTAACGGTGTTTCGCGAAGCAGAATTAAGTATAAACTTCGGAAGCGTTACCACGTCGACGTCGATCTGAGTACAATCTCCCGCCGAATCGCCAGGTGGGGTCTCCGCGCCAGCAATCCCGTACCAGAGAAACTCCGGAATTGATAGAGGCCACCCGTGATCTGATCTTTCGCGTTGGCCTTAACGAAAAGCAAACCCTAAGTGTTCTACAGAGACGGGGCTGGCAGATCACGAAGCGAGGCCTGAAACGCATCAGGCTTCACCCGGACCGCCGTTAGGTGCGCAGACTCAATAGCGATGAGGAGCGCCTGGCATTGTTGGAAAAAACCGAACAAGCCATCATCGACATAACGCGACGCTCTAATGCCATTTCGGGATACGGCAGAAACCTTCTGCAACCTTATCTCCGTCAGCAAAAGCAGCTCTGGGTACCAAGAGATCCTCTCTTCGAGATGTACAAGATCATGTTCCCGAATGAGGTCGAGCTCAGAAAGAGGATGTTTCGGAGAAAGAAAGGACAGTTTCTTGTCCCAGGCCCGAACTACCAGTGGTGCATTGATGGCCACGAGAAGCTCAGGGTGTACGGATTCGAGATATACGCGGCCATCGACGCCTACTCGCGCAACATTATCTGGTTCTACCTTGGGCACTCTGCCACAACTGCCTTGAGCGTACTGAAGCAGTACCTGGCGGCATGTGACGCCTATGGCTTCCGGCCATGGTACTTGCAAGCGGACAGGGGGAGCGAAACGCCGTTGGTTGCAGCAGCCCATTGGAACTTTGTTTTGACCACAGACGGACGTGTGGAATGGCATGAGCAAGTCTTCCAGCAAGGTAGGAGATTGAAGGATTCGTATAAGGCAGCCCCGAGTACGAAGAACGTCAAGATTGAGAGTTGGTGGGAGCGTATGCTCCATGTCTCCTCTCGGCAGTGGGTAGACTATTTTGGGGAGCTCGCAAGGGACGGGGACTTCGACGGCGACATGCTGGAGGATCAGATTGCCATCTACGCCGTCTTCGAAGATATATTACGTTAAGAGCTCTTCGACTTTGTGGAGGCATGGAATCTTCATCGAATACGCCTTCAAAAGAACCGTCCCCATGTGGTCCACGGCCAGCCCTAGATGAATTACCATTACCCCGACCCGGATAAGGCATGCAATTGGGGCATCCCCATTGATCGCTCAGTTCTACACGAAATGGGGCGACCGTTGGTGGACATTGACATTAGCACGTGCTTGGAGCCCGAGACAAAGGATTGGTGCCACAAGACGCTCCTTAAAATGGGCTACGATCAGGTCGTTCTTGGAAGTCGCCAGGACCCGGATAAATTGCGACCCTTTAAGCGTTTCTATCTTGGTCTCCGGGATAAGATCATTCAGCACATCGAAAGTGGCCGGCAGCCTATACTGGCGTACCGCAAAGCGCCAACTGGGGGCGTTGCTGAATATGTAAGCGCAATATCTGTTTGTGAGTACACTGACCTAAACGTACATAGCAAGCATTACTTGAGCGGGCAAATCGAGCCGAGAAGAAGAGCTTGGAGATGGGCAATCAGCAGAGCAACCATTGGTTGAACTAGGCTTTGAAGACGAGGAAGGAACCGACATTGAAGGAATAAGCGGTGACGAGGAGGAAAGCAACAGTTCAAATGAGGAACCGGAGTAGTCAAGTGCCTTGTGGACGATACCGGCAACCGGTTTCTGTCTGTGGGAATAGTCGAGGCCGAGGGAGTTGGAATCGCTGATCTAAATTCTCTGCCCAGGGTGGTTTTCCATACCCAAGTATGGAAATACCCTTTCCATACTATGGCATGGACAGGGTATGGATATGGATCCATAGTATTTCAATGCTCAGTCAATAATTGGCCAAATTGCGCCACTGACCGGGACCCTACAGCGCCATTGTCCAGGGTCTGAGGGCCTTGAACCCCGCTAATTCCACACAAACACAAATCGCTTTCCCCACCACTTTGCACCAACGCGTCGGACGAATCAGTTGTCGAACTATGGATTCTGCAAGTGTGCTATCCTTCTTCGATGCTGAATCTATTTTGTCGGACTCTACGACATCAAGATCTCGCAATACAAGAGGCAAAGCGGCTATCGCAACGTGGAAGCATGCTCGCGTTGCAGCAGAGGGGGAGAAAGAGTTTAAGGGCCGAAATCGCCTTCTCTATTGCAGCCATTGTCCCCAGACGAACACGTACAGCACTTCAGTTACCACTAACTTTCGAAAACATCTGGAGGGTAAGCACGATATTCGAGTCGTGGAAGATTTGACCCTCTTCAATCGTCCATCTTTGAGGGTTTGAGCAACTCTACCAGCAAGCACGGGACTTGGGCCGCACAACGGAGATTGAGTCGGAGGTCTTCAAACGCTACCTGGACCAAGACAAGATAAACAAAGCCTTAGCTTGGCTGATCGTCGCACGAAACCTTCCTTATCGAATTGTCGAATCCCGCGAATTTCACCTCTTCATTTCGACCTTGAACCCGGTCGCGAAGGACCATCTCCCTTCCGCCCACTCGACTATTCCACGAATTATCGACAATCATTTCCAGTCGGCCAAGGATATCGTGCGAATGAAGCTCCAGTCAGCAAAATCCAAGGTTCACCTCTCGCTTGACATTTGGACGTCCCCCAATCGGCTCCTTCTTCTCGGGTTTGCTCCCACTTTGTTGACCACGCACAAGAAGCACGACGGAAAGCTCTCCTTGCACTTCGGCCTGTGGCGAACCATTCCGGGAGGAGCAATTCGTTACACTTCTTCCCATCTTGCGGGACTTTGGTATTCTGCGACGTCTTGGAAGCATCGTTGGGGATAATTCGAGCACGAATGACACCTCTGCCGGGCAGTGAGCACGTATCTCAAGGAAGAGGGCGTCAAATGGGATCCTGAAGTTCACCGCCTCCGATGCCTAGGCCACGTTATCAACTTGGCAGTTCAAGCTTTCCTGTTCCAGAATTCTATTGACTTGAAAGAGGGCGAAATATGCGAAGACGCAGATGACCTGGCAAAGTTCAAAGGCAGCGCACCGAATTTCGCCGCCTTGGACCACTTGGTAAGCTCCACAACCTGGTTGTCAACATCCGGAGTTCATCAGGACGCAGTGGAGAGTTTATGGAACTCGCTGAAAGGGGCATTCCACTTGACAATCGTACGAGGTGGAATAGCTGGTATCAAATGCTGCATGTTGCCACTCAGCAGGAAACTGCCAGCGCTCTGGACACCTACACCAAGAATCATTTCGAAGATCTTTCTGCGGATTTTCTATTGCCGGAAGATTGGGCCCGGCTCCGAATAATTGAGAAGATCCTTCAACCGTTCGCCCGAGCGACATTAGCAACACAAGGGGATCATGCGACCCTGGACAAAGTGCTCTTCACGATGGACGTCTTGATCCGATGCTTTGATGAAGCCCTGGTACCATGCCTTCCATTCCTCTGATCTCCTTGTGCAAGCGCTGAGATGGTGCAATAGGTCACGTACAAATCAGACACCGAGCTGTCCTTTAGGATCAAACGAGGGTGGGAAGTCTTTGACAAATATTATAGCAAGACAGAAGCATCGCCCTATTATGCAGCTGCCTTGATGCTTCATCCCAGCTATCGCACAACATACATCCAGGCAAATTGGAAGAAGAAGTGGCAAAAACCTGCGTTCAAACAGGTCAAAGACCTTTGGCTCACATACCGAGACACTGTGGATGGCGCCCTCTCGCAACATTTACTAGATGACGATGATGACGAGGACCTTGACGCGTTTGATCGCATTTCAAGGAACCTGCAGAATTGCACTCGACCGTCAAGCCAGGACGAGTACGAAGATTACATTTCATGTGATCCGTACGACATTACGCCGACGACGGCCTTGTCAGGGAGAATGCTTAAAGCATTGGCTCAAGAACGATATCTTGCAAGGGGCCGAGGGTGGTGGCGGGTCCCCAGATTTTGGGTAAAATCCTGGCTCAACTTCTACGCCTGTTTCCTGCAAAAGGAGCAAATTTCTGCTTGGCATCCCCTTGACCGGTCGTCTGTCATTACGTTCACGTTAACTGTTCCTTGATTTTCATTGATTCATGTCGTGTTTGGCACGTTTTGCCGAGACCATATAGGTGAGCTGTTGCGGGATGCGCACGGACCAAGAATGGAAAGGTGTATTGCAATACTTGCAATAAATGTGGGGCGATACTCCAGTATGGATTGCACACCTTTCCATATATGGAAAACCACCCTGTCTCTGCCTGTAAAGTGTAGGCAGTTATGTCACACAACAAGATGCACGGGCAGTATGGACGACTGAGCGGCAATCGGGAAGAAGATCCCCTGTGAATCGGGCAACGAAAGACTCTTGATTTATATCTAATGAAGGAAATCTATCTCTCTTATATACATGAATAGGGAGACTGAGGGCAGCTGCTGCCTGCAGGCAGCAGCTTGACTAGTCGTGACTGCCTATTAGGCAGTAGGCAGCACCGTGAATGAGCATCTGATCTTGACAAGTTACATGTTTCTGTCGCACCAGCCACCAAAGGTGGAGGCGACTGGTAGTATGTATGTGAATTCCGACAACAGTTTCCGGCCCTTCATCCAGGGTAGGAGGCTGACGACTCCACTCCACTAGTCTTGGTACCGTCCAGATTTCATAAACAAGAATATTTTAGTGAAATAATGGCCTCGCCCGCTGGAATGCGGCCAGGAAAACCCCCAGTAATTTTGTCAAGTCTAGTGTCCGACTATTACGTTGTGCGTATCAATGCGTTTGCCAGTGGTATGTACAGTGCCGACTCGCCGTATAACATTGGTGGTGCGGCTGGCAGGCGACTGCTGTCTGTAGAAGTGCGTTTTACTGGTCCTCTGCGGCCCCATACACTGAGGTACATGGCGCAATGTACTGAGGGGCAACCTGCATACCGCACTAACCTGTTTCGTCTAGTCGGAAGCGGTTTTAGGGGTTTTGCAACAGTGACCCCTATAGGCTGCCGTACTGTGCCGAAGCAGATTGACTGGCAATCCACGTCAATGAAGTTCGACATGTTTGAAGGCATGTATCGTTGCTCTCCGCATTGTCAAGCATGAAATACCCAAGCTTTGATCCTAACTCGTATCGGTCTATCACCTTCTTGATGTGTGGACCAATGTTCTCACCGGAATGCGGCCCTATCAGGCGCGGCAGTCCCAGAAGAACATCGCGCTTCTTCCCGTGTCCGTCGACGAAATGACCAACGAGCCCGACGTAATGAAATCCGTTTGAAGCTGTCCATAGATCAAAGCTCAAGTGAACGGAGCTCTTCGATCCTCGTATAAGATTGCATATAGCCTGTCGACGCCCTTCGTACGAATCGCAATCCATGAACGAATTGTGCTGTGATGCTCTGGCTACTAGTAGCTTGCTGACTTGTTCCCCACCATTCGCCAACAGCCATCTGAGCCTCTCGCTCGACGCTTGACGGAAGGTCACGTCTTCGGCTATGACCCAATCTACAAAACGTGCTTTCCATGTCGCTTCGTCAAAGCAGCGTGCAAGATGTAGACCCGGGCCTGACGGACCAGGTACAGAATACGACCTCGAGAAAGCGGATGCTGCAGCCAAAGCGAACGGATTTCTCAAGCCGAAATCATCCTCTCCCTCGCCTAATTCCGTAATTCGATGATGACGAAGCAAATGCCGCGCTGCATGAGATGTCCCAGATGAGACGTACAGAGCTGTCGCATAGCTTCTTCTCAAATGACAGATCCTGCAGAGTCAATAACGAACGCCGGCATGCTCAAGATTCGCACCATATCTGTAGATCCATGATTCTTTGATTTTGGTGCCGACCACCCTGCTATGACGAAATCGCCGCTTTGCGCCAACGAGCCTTTTACCATGGTGCCAAATATTATCCCAGTCGATTGCGAAGTCACACCTCGACGAATCCAGCTCATCGACTGTTGCTTCCGAGGTGACTGGAGTGGCATCTGGATTCTCTCCGGTGAGGTATGAGGCTGATGGGATAGACAGCGCTGGACTACCGCTCCTACTACCTACAAGCCATAACCGTTGAAGCCAAAGAGCGCGTGGCAATTTCACGAAAACGAGAACGCGACAGCTTGAGTCGGCAGAACAAAAAATTTATCCGCTCCATAGTAATGGGCCTACATTAAGGGTGGGTCAGACCGTCTGATCAGACCCAGACCGTCTGAGGTTTTCGGGTGGTCGGTCTGCAATTTCTCAGACCACCTTCAGACCGTCTGACAGACGGTCGGTTTGTTAGCCACACTGATTAGGAGCACTGGGTCTTCGCGACAATTTTACTGGAGGACCCAACCCCTACCTTCGTTCAGTGTTGCTAATAATATGACAATAAAGTAGTATACTGCAGTATATACAATACAATACGCGATTTCTCATATTGTACCAATACAATATGCTCGCCGTCATATTGTGACGATACAATATAGCGCCTTCCATACTGGCAATATATGGCTTGTATTGTTTGTATTGGTTGGTAGTCATTCGCCTTTCCGTTCCCCAATTCGCGCCAATATGATGACGCGTCAAAAAACACGCGTAAATATAAGCATGTTCTATGTATTGTTTTTCGTCTGGCGGACCTCCAGGACGTAAAAGTTTCCTATTGGCGCACGGAAACGCGTAAATGTATGTATAAATCCAGACCTACAGGGTAGCGGCTCGCCGTCCAAACACTGTTTTCCTCCTCAACCGCTTTCCCACCCCAGGACTTACAAGCAATCTCGATGCCTCAACAACGCCTGCCTTTTGTTCAAACATCGCCGCGACGGGATTCGTCAATATCAGACGAATACTCGGAGATTTCCAGCCACGGTTGCATGATCCAGATGAGACCCAAACCACTGAATGCCAATCGTCGCAACCTCGCACGGCCTCCATAAACCCTTCGGCCAAGCCAAGAACATCATGGGTCTTTTCTCATATGCCAGACGAGGACATAGAGACGAAATACTACAATCAGCGGACCGGAAAGAAGAATGGCGCTGCAAACACTGTGACAAAACGTATTGCTGTTCCGGTGGAACTGCGGCCCCAGCCAAGCACCTTACGGATCCTCCTCCTGACGGTCACGGCCTCCCAAAGGCGCGCCACGAACTGCCAAAGTCACGAATATACGAACTATTCTCGAGATAGCTCGTGTTACGGCCAAAGAACATCCCCGAAAACGCCGTCGGCTCAACGATCAATCCGGAGACTCGATCGACCCAGACCAGCTCGAAGCTTTATACGTAAGGTTTATTACGTCCTGTTCTCTCCCATTTAGGCTTGTGGAATGCCCAGAATTCCGAGCATTCTTAGCCTACCTCAACGCCGATATCGATACTTGGCTTCCAGATACACACGAGACCATCAAGAAATGGATTATGCGGCAGTACGAAGGTCAGAAGGAGAAGGTCAAGCAGCGCATCCAGTCAGCAAAGTCAAAAATTCATATCAGCTGCGACCTATGGACTTCCCCCAACTCTTTGGCCATCTTAGGCGTAGTTGCTCATTACGTTGCAGAAGACAGTCAGTTGGAACACCATGTCTTGGCTTTGAAAGACATCGACAGTGAGCACGACGGATATCACCTGGCAAGGGCAATTTTGGAAGTGGTTGATGACTGGGGTTTGCTTCCAACCTTGGATATTTTGTGATGGACAATGCAGGCAATAACGATACAATGATGAGATCTCTTTCCCTTGGTAAGTACGGCGCACTGTTTTTCTGACTGGCCCTAACATTTACAGGCCTTCTACGTCGATATGACATTCGATACGATCCCAAATCTCACCGACTCCGCTGCCAAGGTCACATTATCAACCTTGCCGCCAAAGCTTTCCTCTTCGTTACCGATAATGAGAAGCTCAAAGACGACGAACGTGATGGGCATAATGTGACACTAAAAGAGATCGAGGCGTGGCGGAAAAGGGTCCCCTTGGCAAGCTCCACAACTTCGTGGTTTTCGTCCAAAGTAGTGTTCAGCGTCGCCAAAAGTTTCTGGCCATCAGCCATAATCGCAAGCTTGCGCGAGATAATGACACGAGGTGGAGTTCGTGGTACACCATGCTACGAGCGGCCTTGCATCTTAGAGGCGCAGTCGAGGATATTTCAACAAATGGGTGGAAGGAGATTGTGCCGGAGACGAGCTCTCCCGAGGAGTGGGTCATCCTCGAGAAGATCAAGTCTTTCTTGGAGAAGCTTAAAATGACGACAAAGGCCCTTGAGTCATCGTTTGCAACTCTTGACAATGTTCTCTTGGCTATGGACTTCGTATTGGCGCAATTCGAAGCAGGAAAAGAGGCACATATCGACGATCCGATTATGGCACCAATGTATAACTCGGGCTGGGCGAAGATGGATAAGTACTATTGTCTTACTGACGAATCGCCTGCCTACGTCGCTGCGATTGTGCTTCACCCTTCGCATAAATGGCACTACATACACGAAAACTGGAAGAAGGAGTGGGCTGACTCGTCAAAGAAGCTGATGGAGACACTGTGGGATGATTATAAACCTGTGGAGCCGCCTTCTCTATCTGAGGTTCCGTTGACGACCACGAACGAGTTCTTGAATTGGAGAAACAAGCACCTACAACCAGCACTTATCACAGACGAGTACGAGCGATATTGTAAGTCTGAACGGGTTTATGGGTTCACAAGCGCCTCGCATGGTGGCTGGAGGAAACACAGCAAAGAACTACCCATACCTGAGCAAAATGGCGGTGGATATACTGTCAATTCCCGCAATGTCTGCTGAGCCCGAAAGACTCTTCTCTGGGGCAAAAATAACCATCACAGACCGTCGAAATCGACTTGGGAGTGATGTAATTCAGGCATTGGAGTGCTTGAAGTCATGGTTTGGGATACAGGATTTTCAGGGTGACGATATTTCAGCAACGACGGTTGAATAATGAGGTCACGTGGGATATACGGATATATTGTTTTACTGGCAATATATTTGGTCACTGGCAATACAATACAATATGGACCAATGCCATATTGCGCAATACAATACGCACCTCTTGACAATACAATAATATTGCGAGGGGTCCATATTGCCAATATACGTATTGTTTATATTATTAGCAACACTGCCTTCGTTAGAAACTGGCATCCAGGCATACATGGAAGGTCAAGTGCTGGCTTGAGTGGCTGACCAGGAGCGCTTCCTAGCCTCTAGCTGCACGCCATCCTTGGCCCGGCTGCAGGGGCCACGAAGCAAGCAGCTTCCCATTTGATGATCCATGTCTGCCACCTCTGTCATTGGCATGTAGCGTTGCAGCGACTGGACAGGGGCGCCGCCTGCCATAGGTTCGTCGGCGCGAAAGGGATGGCCTTGTTCGGAATCAGGTGGCAAGATGCCTGACTGCAAGAAATGGGCGATGTGGTCGTCGTTAATACCATGCCTGTTGAGAAGCTCCTGGAGCTGTTTGTTCTCTCCCCCTACTCTCGCAGCCATCTGGATACCGGTAGAGGCCTCAATGCGCTGATGTTCTTATGCTTTAAGTCCCCGCTCGAGGTCCTGGATATACTCTCTCCGTCGGGCACGATCTCCTTTGGTTGCCTCGAACTTGGGCCAATTTGCTCTTGCGCTAGAGCAGAGAACAAGAGATGGGCTCTTCTGATCACACCTTCCTCATTTGGACGCGCCGCAGGCTTACGCTCTGAGAGCTCGATGATGAGCGGGGAAATTCGCCTTTACGTTGCTGCCTAGTTTACATTCTATATGAACCCTTGGTCAGCCCGTCTGAAGAACCTACCTTAGCCTGATACCACAGACCTTCACACAGCAGGGAGCAAGAGCCATCCTGAGCATATCTCTTCTTCGCCGACAATTTTGAGGCGCACCTTATACCCTTGTTTTTGGAAACTCTTTACCCAAATTTTTGGACGTAGTTAATCATGGCTAGCCTCGGACCCGACGCCAAAGAACTCAAGAAAATCCAGAAGCGGATCAGCGACATTATGCGCGATTACACAGCGGAGCAAGCAAACCATCAAAACTTGCTTAATATTATCGAGAACGCTTCAAGCACCAATGTGCAGCTAATGTCCGAAAGCGCCTCGAGTTCAAGGAATCGCAGAGGCCGTCGCCAAGTACCCGATATGAACCAAAGGATTGCGGAGTTAAGACGGCAGCTCTCTGAGAAGGAAGCGGTGATTGGAAGGCTGTGGAATAAATTGGCCGAGTTACAGGAGCGTGAGCGGGAGTTAATGGCGCGGTCCTTACAAGGGGGGGCTTAGTTAAGAGATGTCATTAGATGTTTGAAAGGTAGACTCTATACCTATCTGACTTGTACTAAGCTTTCCGTTTTTTCAAGAAATTCTCGAATTAGCCGAGCCTGAGCGTCATCGACGAGCAGCCCATGTCTCGCAAGATATTCGGTGTAGCGCTTAGAGTTCCGAATTTGAAGCTCAACTTGTTGCGCAAGTACCTGGTTCTCATCTTTTGCGAAAAAGTCGTTAACCACTGTATCCCTACATGCTTCGGATCCGAATAAGCGTTGAAAGGTAGACATGTAGTATATATCCTGGAGGTTAGAGGGGTGGCGTAGAATTTGCATTATGGGCGACACTCGTGGCAGAAATCCTTGATCCTGCACGACTTGGTCCTGTTGTAATCCCCAGTCTTGACAGAGCTGAGAGCAAGCGCTCGAAGTATTTCCCATCTCCATAAGAAGTGTGCAGAACTCTGAAAAGATATCGCCTCGGGGAACACCAGTAAAGACAAGGAAGGTAGCTGGATCGTGCCCGGTAATCCATGGCGGTGGCGTGAACAATTGTAGTGGAATCGTGCCGGTAAACTCCCAGTCAATAATTGCGAGAATGTGGAAGTCGTCATCGATGAGAATGTTACCACATCTTAGATCTGGGTGGGCGAGTATAAATGAAGGGCTAGGCTCCTGTAAGTCGATGCATTTAGGAATTTCCTTCAATAGACTGTCCAAAGCGAACATCTCCATCTTTGCTTGCCTGCAGTCGAGCTCCTGGACGGGTTGCTTGTATGTTTCTGACAGAATATTGCAATGATAATCTGTAAATTGCATTGTAGACGTTAAAACCCATGGGGTGGCCGGCGTTGCGCAGCTTCTTTCGAATTCGTTTGCAGTCATTGAAAGGAAGGGACCAACTATGGGATTCGATTCGCCGTTTGGATTCGGCACCAGCGAACCCGCCGTAGAAAACTCAAGCTTGCGTAACTGCGTTAAAACATTGATGAGATCGATGTACAGATTTCTCCGTTGTGATTGCATAGTATGTATCCAAGTTCTTGTATCAAGCTGACGCCCGGGGATGAATTCCATAATCATAAATGGCGTTAAAGCGCCCGGTACTAACGTATCGTCTTTTCCGTATGCGTAGACGCGAGGGATACGAATCGAAGTGTTGCTTTCGATATATCTGTATAGGTGATTGGGTTACTAGTATTCCATCGAACGGGTAATGATACAGCTTACCGCATCGTCGTCACCTCACTTAGGAGCTTGCTCCATGCATCACGAATCATGGGCACGATTGGTATCCTCAAAACCCAGGTCTTGTCGGTAGATTCAAAGCGAACAAAGAAGCAGATGTTGAAGCTGCCGTTTTTCTGATCAATGACACTACAGGCCCTTTCCCCACCATACTTTGAGGCCACATGACAGACAGCAGCGCTGTCGATGGAGTCGATGAATGTACGAATCTTGGCTTCAATTTGCCGTTCAGTGAGTGGGAAGAAGATTGGAGCTTCTTGTTCGGTCTGAGCGCTGGGGGCCTGATCATTTGTGGAGGCGGGTTCTTGTTCCTTGTCCTGGCCTGTTAGTGTCGATGGCAGATTGTTCGGGGAGTCAAGTCCAGCTGCTGGAAGGCCACGGCAAAGCCCTATTAAACGTGCCGACAGCGACGTCCATTGTGCCTGAAGAAAGCGAAGTGGCATGGATGGCATCCTCGTACTCGGCTGCCTCGGGCAATTGACGAGGTCGTGGCGATTCAAAGTCGACACGAAGTTGCTGGGTAAGGGGCTGTCGACATGTCGGATAAAGGCCGGGCCGAGCCGGCTTGCTGACAAAAGGGGATCGTGGGGGGCCAGCAGGGGGTACGAGAGGACGCGGAGGGATGAGGGGGTACCCGTGCCACGCCCCACTTTATTGTCACTCGCAAGCTCGCAAGCTGTCGAGAAGAAAGGTCCGAACGAAGTGAGGCTTCTAGGTCTCTGTCGTACATCAAGGCTGCCTAGAGGACTTATTCATGAGGTGGCGATATTATTACGCAACGCCGTTGTGGCCTGCTAGGCAACAGCTACTGCGTAATCATGCGACGAACCTTTCATTTGCGTACTAGTTAAAAGGCCACCCAAAAGTGGGTCAAGTGTGGCTTGGTCGCGCGCAAGGTCCGATGCCGCAAAGGTGTGTCCGCGCATTCCTGCCAGCATCGAGGTGCGCGCCAGAGGGCATGTTGAAGCCGCAGTTGAAGCCGCAAAGTCAAGCTGGCCGCGATGCAATATATGTACGTAGGGCATGTTATTGGAGTCGTAGAGAACACACTTCCGCCAATTACTTTGACTGGGTAAAGCTGATCCCTTATCACTCGGGCTCCAGTCACTGCCGTCTTCTGCGCAGCTTCCTTGACTCGTTGCAGCTCGATTTTATCCCTGCAAATAACCTTCACTTGCTCCGTGTTTCGCGAGTTCCTCACTACTGCCGCGCACCTCCAGGTCGCCTGACCTTCCTTTGCTCTGACCTCACTTTCAATGGCTTGCCGGATCGAGCCTACCTGTGCTCGGCCTCTGTCCTGTTCCTCTACTCGCGATGTGTCGATCATGCAGAAAAGCTCGTTCGCATTGGATTCCGCAGTGCTGTCGGACGAGCGCGATTGGACAGTGCTCTGTCGTGGCGACGGCGATGAACGCGCGACCTCAGCGAAAGTTCTGGGCGGGGTAGCCACTGCGCTCACGACGATGGCTTCGAGCTGCTTTTGGACTTGTTTGAGTTGTATTTCGACTCCGCGCTTCAGTTGCTCTGGGACCGCGGCCTGATCGAAGACGGCGAGTACCGCAACATACACGCCTCTGTTGTCCAAGGCAACGCCACCTTCCCTTCGGAATACAACCTTTCTGTCCAGGTACCTGACTGCGAAATCGACGACCGCGGAGCATTGCTCCGGCGCGGCGCTTTATGGGTGCCCAATTGGGAACCACTTCGGACGGCACTGATACAACAGACACACGACTCTCACATTACGGGTCACCCTGGGCGCGACGTTACGCTCAACATTCTTCAACGGAGCTACTTTTGGCCCCAGCAATACCTTATGGTTCGCCAATTCGTACGGAACTGCAATGTTTGCTCACGGTCAAAGTCGTGGCGCCACAGCCCACAGGGTCTCCTACGACCTTTGCCTATTCCGGACAGATTTCACAGCGAATTGTCTGTCGACTTCATGGTTGACCTGCCAGCTAACGGCAAAGGCCCCCGATTTCTGATGGTAATTTGTGATCGGCTGCTCGGCTCTTGTACACTGGAAGCTATGGATTCGATGGAAGCTGAGGCTTGTGCCGAGCGCTTTGTTCAGTGCCACTACAGATTCCACGGCTTTCCAAAGACGATGACATCTGACAGAGGCAGCAACTGGGTTAGCAAATTCTGGCAACGGCTTTGTGAACTCGTGCGCATTGAGCAACGTCTATCCACGGCATACCACCCTCAGACCGATGGCGCTACCGAACGGATGAATCAAGAGGTCCTTGTTTACCACGAATCTTCGTCGCCTACGCCCAGACCGACTGGGCAGGTCTTCTGCCAATGGCCATGCTCGCGATCAACAACCGCGATTCCTCTGTCACGGGTTACAGCCCCTTTTTCCTCACTCACGGGTACCACGCCGAGCCTATCCAACAAAACCAAATCTCATCTCGCTCCAAAACCGACCCCAAGGCCCGTGCCGACCACTTCATTGCCCGCCTACGAGAGGGTCAAGAATTAGCCCAAGCAGCGAAAGCGACGGCACAACAAATCATGGAACACCAGGCGAATAAAGGGCGGCGGCCAAGTCAAAAGTTCGTTGTCGGGGAGAAATCGGGCTCGTGACCACCCTCTTCCTTTTTTTCGGCTTGACGGCCGCCAATTGTGTTTCCAGTGCCTGAATCTGCAATTGAGCTTTTGCTAAAAGGCCATCCTTCTCGTCAAACCCTTTTGTGATCTTCCTGAACAGCAATCTCTTCGTGGGCACGTCGTCGTCTAGCTGGTTGAATTGAACTACCTGAACCTTCAGATCTTGCGAGCGCCTCGGGGTCGACCACGCAATCTGGGATGTGTCTGATTGCCAGTCACTGGTGGGTAAGTGGCTATTGAATGCATTGGCCACATTTTTCGCGTTCCTTTTGCGTCTGTTGCTGTTCTCCAGCAGAAGAGGGCTCAAAAGTGGCTTCGCCATCGACACCGGCCACAAACCCGTCGCTTTCCAGCCACCCTTGATGTTTGACACAGTGAGCGCTTGCTCGCGTGCTTTCTGGTAGCAGGAAAGAAAGTTTTGCTTGCCGACTGGGCTTGAATCGGTCAGGAGGCTGAGAAATCCGACCTGTTTGCGGTAGTAGTGCTTAAGAGCGGAGAAGACAGACAAATCGAGCGGTTGCAGCACATGAGAGGTATGGGGAGGTAAGAAAAGAAGGTGAATCTGATGCTGGTAGCATAGATACATGAAGTCAACCGTCTCGTGACTTCCGTGGCCGTCCAATACTAGCAGTCTTCGCTCCGAAGGGTCGGGTGGCTGGGTTCTTGGAATGAACACCTTTTCGAGCCACTCCACCGCAGTTTGGTCCGAAGTCCAGCCGTTCTTTGTCGCAGTGAATTGCCAGTCACTAAAAGTACTGAGATCTTCTGGGAACCACTGTTGCTGGACCGATTTGCCCTTGAAAATGACGAGTGGAGGAGGAAGGTGCCGGCAGCGGACACGCACTCGATGAACGACGTCCAGACCCGAGAACCAGGCGTCTTCTTTTGTACAGATCGTTTTCAGCACTGCCAACGACCAGGCCATTCTCCCCAAGTCCTTCCATGATGCCTGCTTCATCCATGTTGTACCTGTTCTCCGGCTTAATAGCCAGAATCTCGGAAGGAAGAAATTGTTGAACCAAGGCCGAATTACCTCGGTAGAAGCGCCGTTGACACGCGCAGAGTCTCTGTGATGGCACTTCTGGGTCCGAACTGCAGGATTTCGTCTTAAAAATGCTTGCATCCAGTGTTTTCCGAGCGGTGTGTGGTCTCCTTTGACGGCGAGCATGCGCTGCGCGAACTGCCTGATCTGCGAGTGAGTGGGAGGAAGGCCCAAGGCGTCCTGAATGAGAATCCATTCGGTAAGTTGCTTTTCCTGTGTCTGAGAAAGCCTCTGAAGAGCAGAAAATGCATCCTTTCTGCATTCGTGACCATGCATGCGATTGTAAAGAGTTGCCCTCAGGACGCCCCAATCGCGAGCAGCCTTCTTGGCGGATCCGCCATTGGCGATTGCCTCAAGGGCGCTGTGAATGTCAGACTCTGTATATTTCATCAGTAGTGGCTTGAAGACACATGCGTCAATTTTTAGCAGATTGGATGCGTTTCCGCGGTGAAATTTGCTGTTGAAGTTGACGCAGCCGTTTAGGTTGGGCACCCATCTTGGGTGCCCAAAACAGGGGGGTGCCCATTTCTATGTGCAGGGACTTATGTCGCGAAGACCGTTGCGCCACGCAGGCAAAAGCGGAATGCACACTCCAACAAGTGCGCTGCAATCAACACATATCTGACCCCGCCTTCCCGACATTGTCGGAAAACGCGGTTGTCAGATATGTGTCAATTACAACGCACCTGTCGAACGAGCGTTCCACTTTTGTCGGGAAGGCGGGGTATGTGTTGATTGCAGCGCACTTGTTGGAGTGTGCATTCCGCTTTTGCCTGCGTGGCGCAACGGTCTTCGCGACATCCTATGGGTATCTACTCCGTACGCTGACGGGATTCGAACCACGGGGCCTACTCGAGTGTGTCGCGCGCGCAGTCTAACCGGAAGTTGCAGGGGTGGTGTGCCATCCCCTCCCGGGCTCATACCTGTTGCGAAGACAGTACGCCACTCAGGCAAAAGTGGAATGCACTCCAACAAGTGCCCTGCAAGTAACGTATATATCTGGCGACGTGTGTACCTTCCGACCAACAAGTGTTCCCCTCGACAGACTTCTTCTCAACAGTTGTACATCCAATTGCAAAATGTTTTCAGCACCGCAGAATTCAACCTTCTCAAAGATTCAAGACGAAATAAATCGAGGTGCTGTTTCAAGTATTGTGGCCAATGTTTGTCCAAATGGTACGACCTTCCATGTTCTTGAGGTTGGTTGGCTAGAGTGCGATGAGGGCTTCGTGGTTCGCGGAGGCAATTGCAGTACCAAGAGTACAGAGGGCCGTCCGTTCATCAACAAACGACGTGAGCTTCCAATGTACTGTATCTTAATTGACCATCCACATGTCGGTCTGATTCTCTGGGAAACTGGCCCCGGAAAGGACTATCCCACGGTATGGGGGCCTGCTCTGTCTGATGTTTTCGCTCGCGTGAGATACGAGCCGCGACATGAGCTTCGTGCAGCGATCGAGACAACAGGACACGACATCAAAGATATCAAGAAAGTCATTATAGGACACTTACATCTGGATCATGCCGGTGGTCTCGATGAGTTTTTTGACAGAACAGATGTTGAGATATGGGTGCATGACAAAGAGCTACGATCTGCATTTTGGTCCGTTGCAACCGGTGCTGACGACGGCGTCTACTCGGAACACTACCTCAAGCTCTCACTGTAGGTTGCTTTGCTGTACAAACCATCTACAATGTCACAATGAACTAACGATATTTCGCTCCCTCCCTTCTCAGTAACTGGAAAACGTTTGACGAGCAGACTTTTGCCTTTTGTCAAGGCATCACATTACACCACATACCAGGACACACGGATGGCCTTATCGGGATGCAAGTAAACATGGTCAATACAGGGACGTTCATCTTCATTAGCGACCACTGTCATGTTATTGAGAATGTAAGCACTTTTGACCATACCTGTATGATTCGTTCGCGTCTAACGGAGGGTAATATTCAGTGGAGAGAGGGTATTCCCCAAGGTTGGCTAGCAAGGATCACCCAGCTTGGTTTCGAAGCACTCAGAGACTGAAGCAGTTGGAAAGAATTACCAAAGGCCAAATTATTCCAGGTCATGACAAGGACTCCTTTCTTGCTCTCCAGAACCAGGCAAAAGTATTTACCTAAATATCCATTTGTCTTCCGTCTGGCCATTAACGTAAATGTCTCGCGAAGAGAGTAGGGCAAGGGGCATAATGTTTTTAGGATGCATGTGTTCTCTTTTTATTTTCCCTCCCTGTCTGCTGTACCATTCTCCCATTTATGCCCTTTGCCCTCTCTTCTTCAGTCTTCCATCTCCTTCCTTGCTGACTTACTAATGCATAGGTACCCTCTCTCCGCGTCAGCTTGCCACGTCATCCCAGTTTCATCCTGTCTCATCCCTACACCTTCAGCTAGCTATCAGGCTTCAGGATCAAGTCTTAGACCCTTCTTCTCGACACACCCCCTTAGCTGTTGCCTATCCCTAGCAGAGGAACAGATACAACCAGACTTGCAAGGGCAACCTCAGTTGAGCCGGGCTAGTGTTCGTGTAGGTCGTGAGACGGCCTCATTCGGTGTTCCCTACAGTCCTTGATCTTGTCCTTCAGCGCCTCCAGCCTAGCCTCCAGTCTCAACCTTTCACCAATCTCTTCAAGCCCAATCAGCCGAAGGAATTCCGCTAGCTTCTGCTTTGGGAGAGCTTTTGTCAACCCATCGGCTCGCATTTCAGCTGTTGGAACCCAACGAGGGCGTATTCTGCTTCCTTGCACTTCCTGACGTAGCCAGTGTTGGTGTATATCAACATGCCGTAGCCTGGTTGACAACTTCGGACTTCCTTCTTCTAGGAGCCTTATAGTCTGCGTGTTATCGCACTCGACTACCAACGGCGACGGGATTTGTAGTTGCAAAGAACGGAGCAGTCTGCTGAGGAAGATGGCTTCCTTTGATGCTTCTGAAAGAGCGAGCAGCTCTGCCTCTGTGCTTGATGTAGCCACAGTAGCTTGCTTTGATGCTCTCCATGCGACAGAGCCTCCAAACAGGGTCATGACATATCCCTGGGAGCTCTTCCTGTCGACTGAATTGTCTGCAAAAGATGAATCACTTGAACAGAGGAAAATCTCTGCTGCAGCCGGCTTTCTGCTGCCCCTTTTTGTGCTTCCGGTACTTCCGAGGCGTAGACCATATGATCGTGTGGCATAGAGGTATAGGATCACTCTGTCTGCTGCCTTCTGATGTGTCGGGCCTGGATTCTGATTGAAGCGGGCTAGTCGGGAGACTGCAAAAGCGATATCTGGTCTTGTTGAAATTGCTGAGAATAAGAGAGATCCGACCTTCTGAAGGTAGCTATGCTTGTCTTGGTCTCTTGCTTGGATCGGTTCTGAAAGGAGCTCTTCGTTGGTGGCCATCAGGGTGCTAGGAAGCTTTATGCCTAGTTTGTCAGGAACATACTTATGCGCAATCTTGTCGATATAGGCATCTTGCGTCAGCCAAATCGTCCGACTAGGTCGGTGCCTGAGATACGGATCCCTAAGAACCACTTAGGTTCCCTAGTATGCTCATCTTGTATCGTTGCTGCAGGCCGGATTTAGCTTCCGTAGCGACTTGCTGATCCCTTTTTCGATAGGCCCAGATGATGTCGTCGACATAGAAGAAGACAATGACGGCTCCTTTCATCATGACGCATGGTTCCTGAGGACTGTCTTGAAGCCTAGCTTCTCGAGGATGCGGTGAGATGCTGTTGCCAAAGAAGGGGAACGGCGAAGTCCATAGAGGGCTTTTCGTAGCCGTAGAACTTTACCCTCCTCTCAAAGCCAGGTGGCATCTTCATAAAGACAACTTCTTCTTCCTCAAGAGGGCAGTTTACAAATGCGTTGATCGCGTCCATCTGGTCAAGCTCAAGGTCGTATTCAGCTGCTAGAGCCATCAGGGTCCGGAATGACATCCCTGCTAACGTTGTGGCTCTAGTCGGAAGGTCTCCTTTTTCTTGCTGGTTCCCACAGACAGGGTTGAAAGCCACTCCACTCAATCCACTGGCTGCTCGAGTGGAGTGGGTAGATCATAATCCACTGAGTATCTCAGTATAGTGGATCCACTGGGAGCTATCGTGGATTAGGTGGATTGGGTGGATTGGCAAGTGCCTCCATTCGTGATGGTGAAGCTATTCCCGAAGTTCTTGCCACCCTACGGCCCATACCTCCCCCATCCAAGTTCCAAGCGAGGCTATCTCCAATTGGCTTCTATCTCGTCCTGAACGCTCGCCGCCTGGGTAAGCCACTTTGTTGCCCACCCCTCAAGCTGTTCATCTGACATCTGAGCCAATTCGACATTGACTTTCTCTTCGTCCATCGATATAAAGCAGGGATCTAAATCATGAATAATACCAGCCCTTAACCATGAACGCAATACCTGGCACATCCCGATAATCCGGGCTTCAAGTTGGTGGCGCAAGGGGTTCACCATCCGACCCGCTGCCGAGAAAAGACGCTCACACTTCCTTGTCGAAGCGCTTGATAAAGTCGTTCGCGATTGCTTGTTCTCGGGGGTCGTGTAGATCAAGGTTGAAGGATTCCGCGAGTCCGCTGCCCCGTAGGCCTCCTGTTCTTGGAATCTGCCTTCTTTCGGCAGTTCCTTTGGTCCTACCAGGCGGAGCGCGAATCCGTGGTCGTTGAACAGATGGTTGTACGCGTTGTGGATGCCATCAGCTTCGAAATGACGTGGATGCAGTGTGTTCTTGCGAATGCACGCTTGGCAGATCCATCTGCGGTCGTCTTCCTTTTGGATGTCATATCCAAATTGCCAGGCCAACAACGCGTTTCTCTGGCTCGCTCAGAGAACGCCCAGCCAGGGAAATGCCTCCAGAGCGTACGTTCGTAGTGTTCATCGCTTGTGGAAAGGGTCGCCGGAGTCGATACAGGGGTCGAGGTTGAACGGGCAGGATACGACGTTGGGCAGGGCGTTGATTCGGGGACGGATCCGAAGCCGCTGTCGGAGATATCGACGCAAAGGTCAGGCGAGGTCATGGTAAAAAATAATCTGTCTATCATGTCGAAACGACGAAACCACAAAGATGGTGGCAGTAAAGGGTCAACAACAGGTCCAGGTAAACGCGAATAACGCGTCCAACGCGACTAGTTGGCACATTATACCCTTATCCTCCGGATGTTTCGGATACTTATTTTCAGGCTAATTTGTGAGGATAAGCAAGTAGCGAGTGCCAAATTGAGCTCGAGTATTAGATAAGTTCCTAACAGCCTTTAGATCGCGAACTTGACACGATTAATGTCGCTTGCAATTGCTCGCGCAGTATCGAGATATCGGAGGATCCAAACGCGTTTTCCAATTAGCTTGCCAGACGCTACCTGAGGGTGTAAGTGTTGCACTGTAAATACCAAATATGGGCAATCGGGCTCAAAACGTGCTTGAAATGTAATTATGTGGGAGGAAAATATGTGAACTATTGACCGCCTTAATGACGATATAGCACTCATTAACCAAATATTAAGCACACGTTTCAAGACTTGTGCTATTCCAATGAGAAGACTAGGAAATTCGAACTGCACTATTATTATTATATGTGTTATAAAATCACGATGTTTAGAAGCGTTATGATTCTTTCGATTAATACAGGGTAGCAGCATCAGAGAGGCGCATCTGCAGCTGTTAGAGGCTCTGCTAAATACATGGGCGTTCTTAACTACACCACTTCCAATCCACCAATCCACCCACTCCAGCTCCAAGTGGATTCGGTGGATTAGCTAATCCACCGACATTTTGCCAGTGGATTAGCCAGTGGAATCCACGAGTGGATCCACTACGTGGATTGAGTGGAGTGGCTTTCAACCTGCTCCTACATAAGGATGAGGCAGTCATAGCTTAATTGGAGGGACAACCATCCGAAAGCAGTGTGGCTAACAATCAAGCTCGAACTTGATAAGTCTCAATCAAGTTTGACTTCCCATCAAGTCAAGTTCTCAAGTCAAGTTTAATAGCTGTCGTCAATCAATCAAGTTGCAAGAGTGTCAAGTTGTCAAGTACTTGATGTAAGAGGAGATGACTACCCTGGACCGGTGCGAAATTGGCCAATTACATTGCTTAGAATCGACGTACTTTGCCCATTGTGCGGCCGTTGTGCGGTTATGGAACGTAAAATAACTTAGCGCATTGCCCCCACTGGGATCTTCACCCAGGCGAAGTGGAACCCTACCTACTCCTGCTCCACCAAGCCGCTATCCACAACGCGTCGAATCGACGCGTTATGATGTCGCTACACGCGTTTTGGGGCCCAAGCCGGTCGTCAAGTACGCGAAGCTTATCTGTGACGTCTTCCTCGAGGCAATCTACCGATCTAAACGAGCCGATACCGTCGACCGAGCAAACGTCAGGCGTGGAGCAACCTCTCCATCGGTCTACCTGCCCTCCACATTCTCTGGCGTTCCCAATTGACTGGGGCGTGCTTCGGCGGCACGATGGCACGATTCTCAAGGGTATACAGTATCGCATACGGGACAAGAGGAACGTGGGCAGACGAGTGAAGGTCTCGTGGATCTATTCATATGGAGCAGAGCTGGAGCATAGTAATGACAAGTACTTCCTGTGCGCCGATTGCCATACCAAGAAGCGGTATACCAGTCAGTTATTCGCAGCAGAATCGACGACAGCCGCAATCCAGCATCTTTTAGAGTTCCACAAGATCAAACGGCCTTCGAATTCGACCACCGATGACGATGATTTCGACGCCACCAACGCCGCAGAAGTTTTCCAGCTCGTCATGCCATTTAATGAGGATGAGTACAAGCAGAAGCTCATTGACTGGGCCATCAAGCTACGCCTTAGCTACCGAGAAGTCACGGACGAGTCGACCACTGATTTACTCACATACGGCAAGCCTCCGCTCGCGCGCCTGTTGCCAACGCATCACTCAACGCTCTCGCGGTGGGTGAAGGATTCGATGGCAGCACGCTTACCATTCATCATCGAATTTGTGCAGTCCGCACTCAGCACCATCAACCTCTTGATCGACGGATGGCGGGCTCACAATCGCAGAGAGTACATCGCTGTTTGCGGACACTTCGTCGATGGCCAAGGCCATCCTCGAACACTCCTCCTCGGCTTCCCACGACGTTATGGCGGTCACACTGGCGACGACCTCGCAGCACTGGTAAAGCCAGTAATTCTACAATACGGCATCGGCGAAAGCTCAGGTGAATCTTATTGAGGCTTCGGAGGAGCAGCGTGTAGCTCTCTGGACCCTCAAAGGCGTCATTGGCAAGCTGCACAACCTCGTTGTCTACATTAATCGAAACGACGCACGCCGTGAGCAGTTGAGAGCTCGCATGCGCGTCACGAAGACAAGCGACGGCATGCTGTTCGTCGGCGTGCTCCTCAGTGACGGTGGCATTCGATGGAACGCGACGTTCTACATGATCGAGCGTGCTCTTAAGTGTCGGCCTGCCATCGATCTTTACCAGGCGCAGTGGAAGCCTCCAGATAAAACGACAAGCACAAGAATGACTTCCTCACCGAGGCTGATTGGCACGAGCTTGAGCTCTTCTATAGGCTCCTGCAGCCCTTCGAGCGACTCACGAAGCGACTACAATGCCGTGCAGATGGCGAGGGCAACGAGGGCGGCCAAGGCTCGGTGTGGCAAGTACTTTACGCCATGGACTTCTTGCTCACGAAGCTTGAGAGCGTCAAAGAAGAGATACACGCAATGGATGCTGATAACAAGGACGAACTTCCGCCCTATTACTCCGCAGGCGTGCTCGCTGCATGGTCGAAGATCAACACGTACTACGAGCTCACCGACCGATCACCGATCTACCGTATGGCCATCGCTCTCCACCCAGCCTACCAATTCGAATACTTCAGGGCGAAGTGGTGGAAGCGAAGGATTGGAGAAGGACAGCACAGAAGGAGCTAACTGCATATTACGATCGCTTCGCCGCAGTCACGGTGGCCACTGACCACGTCGACCAGGCCGAGACTTCTCCTTGTTCCTCGCCGACAATCGACGACGAATTCGATGCTTGGGGCCATACAACAGATCGACCACACCGTGGCAAGAGGAGGAAGGTGGAGACCGAGTGGGAGGTCTGGATAAAGCAGGTGCCGTCGAAGGACGACATGAACGTTAAGAATCCTCTTGCGTGGTGGGTGGACCGACGCCACGTTTGGCCCATTCTCAGCAAACTTGCCCTTAACATCTTCAGTACGCCGGCGATGAGCGCAGAGCCAGAGCGCGTATTCTCCGACGGCGGCGAGCTTATCACCGACAAGCGCAACGGCCTCGGCGATGACACAGTTGAAGCTGAGATGATACAGAAGAATTGGATTACTTCCAAGATTTTGCATCGGATTGCGACACCTCGAGGTCTATACAAATTACCGGATTAGGTATAATACATCAAGTACTTGACAAGTTGTCAATCAAGCTCCTTGACTGGTCAAGTCAAGCTTCAATCGAGTTGGACATACCTTCAATCAATCGAGTTCGATGGTCGAAATTGAACTCGATTGATTGTTAGCCACTCTCGCAATAAAATGAGGGTAAGAGTCAATCTGTTCATTGTCGTCTATCTAAAATGAATGTGAAGTTCTGTCTTCTTATAGTCCTGAGGAATATGACTGCTTTGCGGTGGCGAATTTGCCACTTGCCACCCAGGCTGCTTTGTGATGCTATCTAGAAAGTTCCATCTCGTCGCTTAACAATCGCGCGTTTCATCATGCGTATCCTGAATGCGACAGCCACACTGCATCCGACTTCATCTCATTCATATGCAAAATGCATCAGAGTCCAAATTCCAGGTTCGCCGACATTGAAGCGATACGGCGGGCGCAGGAGGAGGTCAATGCAGCTGAGAATGAAGACCCTGATGGAACCGAGGCGGAGCTTTCAGACATTGGTGATGAATGTATCGTAGTGCGTGTTGGTGGCGAGTAAACGGCGATTGAATTGGTGGTTGTCAAAACAGATGGAAATTTTTTGGGGTGCCGATAACAGGGGGGTGCCGATTTCTATGTGCAGGGACTTACATCGCATCCGCGGGCTGCTGAGGCCTCACTATCTGGAAGCAAACCCCACTGACTGAGCCAAGTGGCTATCCATTCCTTATTTACCGGGCCGAGCTCTCTGAGAATTTGGCTGACTAGTGCTGCGTTGCGCTTGACCAGCTGTCGAGGCTTCTTGCTGGTTTGTAAACTTTTGTAAAATCAATGAGCTTGATAGCTGGAAGCCGTTCCACTTCGTACCTGGAGGTTCTTTGATCAATCGCCGTTATCCATTCATTATATGGGATAACCTTTAGCTCCGGCATCATTTCGACGGTCCAGGACACTATGTCTGACCAGTGAACAACATCGGGATGAATAATATGATATACTGGTAGTTCCGGAGTGCTTTTGCCGTCAATACCGGACGCAGCACTCACGGGATGCGACCTCGCAATGTCTAGAAGTACTTGGGCTACTTTATTAACAGGTAGCCACTCGACACTTTCGCGATTTGGAAAGTCGCCAGGGATAAGGCCGAGTCGTGCTGAGGAAATGAACAACTAGTTGCAAGAAAGTTCAGTTGACTCTGTGTCATGCGAAAGGCGTATCAATACATACCGCGGGAATATATTCGTTTTGGTTCCAGGCACCATTTTGGTTATCAACTGGTCCAGTGATCACGCCGACTCGGCAAATTACTGCTCGTAAGCCAGATACCAAAACCGCATACCGCAGAACGCATTCAGAAACAAGCTTCGCCTGGCTGTAACCCATCGGGCCAGCCGCCGTGAGGTCGAGAACGACGTCCTCAGGCACACGCTCGGATGCTTGCCAGCCGCCAACGGCGGAGACACTGGAGACAAAAAGCAACACGGCCGATTTTGCAGAGCCCAGGCAGAAATCAGAAAGGTTTCGAACGCCCTGGATATGGGGTGCGAAGGACGAGAGAGGCCACTGAAAATTGACTGGCCATTGGTTGTGGATGACGTGTGTCACTGTCTCTGTGAGTTGCTGGTACACATTGGGCCTCAGACCTAGGAAAGGTGCTGAAAGATCAGCATGTAGAAACGTAACGCGTTTCGAGTTCCAATCAGCGTTGTGGCCCTTGGCAGAAGCGAGAGCCGCTTGACGAGCTGCTGCGTCAGCTGTCCGGTTTAGACAGACAATGCCTTGGACGTTAGGGTCGCGGTCAAGGCAATTTAGTAAATATGAGCCCAGAGATCCAGTGCTTCCAGTTAAGAGCACGGTCATTCTAGGGCTGGCTCTGGTTTGAGGAAGATCAGAAATGCATGAGCTTAAGAGCGCCTTCATTACTTGAACTTCCTCTGCCGCTTCAAGTTTCGTGCTGTTGCACGCCTTTTGATTTCCATTAATGACGTCTGCCGCCGAAGATAGTTCCACGACATATTTGGCAAGCTGAGAAAGGGTCGGGTGCATATAGATATCGGTTGGGGTGATGCCGCCTGCTATATTGAAGTTGATTTCTCGCGTTATCATCGTAGCTTCAAGTGAATCGACGCCAGCTCTGAAAAAGTCGTCGTCTGGATCAAGCTGTCGCGGCGTTGCTTCCCTACCATGGTGACAATGCTCAGCCAGCAATTGTCTCAGCCAGGCCATCACACTATCATAGTCTCGCCAAGGTTGACTAGTCAGGAGTTGAGGTCGTTCTGGCGCTATATTCCGCCTTTCAATGTGCTTATAGAATGCTTCAATCTCTGTGCTGTAGAGTTCATTCGTAATGCGCCTCTGGATCTTGCTCTGGCCAAGAAAATGCAAGGGCTTAGACGGGTCTGCAAACAGGATGTGGTGGCGGTCCAGCTGGCCATGACGAGGAGCATGTTTGTTGGCCTCCGCTACTACAGGTAGCAACCTTTGAATCAGTTCATGGCGCGATTGCTGATCTTCCGGGTGTTCGACGCCGGGTACCAGGTCGATTAATGCGAGGGTTGGAATCGCCCTGCCCCACTATAATAGCACCGCGGACGAGTGAACTCCTCGCGAGGCCGTCTCCATTAGCACAGGAGTAAGCTTTTCTCCATTGCTCAATACAATAACGTCATCCTTTCGCCCGCGATAGCGCCACAAGAATGGCTTGTTCGGATCGGGGTGCTGATCGTAGAGATCGTTCATCGACCATTCGGATATCTGGGAAAGGCGTAAAGGTGCCCTGAAAATTCTTAATTTTGGCGTCTCGAACAATGATGAGTTCAAATAAGCCAGGATAATCCTGGCACTCCCGCATTGAATCCCTGAATGAGTGGGATGCCAATAAAAGTACTCCCAGTCGACGGCGGATGGAGCCAGTCGAGGAAGATTGGCTGTCTCTGTAGCACCCAGATTCCCAATTACTCGCGTATATTGAGAAATAGTGTCACCGGCACTTTTGGATAGCGGCGCTGTTCGTTCCGTCAGCTCTAAGAACGGCGAATTGCGGGTTTGAGGGGGATTACATGCCACCACTAACAACGACATAGGAAAAGCCCTTCATGTGTTCTAACCAATCTGGTTGTGTACTGATATCCTCGTAAAGGAGGCGCTCCCATTGAAGCATTGACATCAGCAAATCGGTGCATTGCGTCCACGTATGCAGCGTTGGGCACAACATGCGGCGCTCCGAAAACGAGGGTCACTCCGAGACACAAAGCCCAGGTGATGGTGGCGTTTATACCGCTCGTGTGGAAAAGCGGCATTGAAGTATACGCTCGTTTTGCCTCTTGGTAGATTTCTGTAGTCGGCCTGAAACTGCCGATAGGCGGCACTGTCCGCCACGCTTCGTAGGTGCTGAGCATGCCGATCTTCCACGCAACGGCTTTGGGCAGACCTGTTGATCCTGTGGTATGCAACACCAGGCAAGGGTCATGTTGCGCCTCATCAAACGATTTGAGATAGGGTGCACAGGAACCATCCTGGAATCATCTAGGAGCTGCTCCAGGTCCGGTGCCTCTATTGTTCGCATTGGTCGACTCTGGATTATCCGGGAGATGTCGGTGTTTTTCGCCTGTAGAAACTTTTCGCAGTCACCTTGAGCGAGAATGTTCAAATGACCATCTAGATTGTTTCGTGGTGATGTGAATAACATCTATCGCAATGTTATCAAAATCCTGGTCACATATATTCACCGGAGCAGGACACGGCAAGTACCTTGTAACCCACCTAATGGCAGCAAACATGAATATGAGATATCGAATATCATCTGCCGCCTACTTAGCCAAGCTTTGTGCATAAAATTTACAGAAAAATCATCTTACTAGGGCCAATGTAAGCTATTGACTCAACAAGGTTGGTTCTCCAAAAGATTCTACGAGATACCAACTCGCCATGTTGATTGCGTTTGCAAAGCAGCGGCTATTGACCTCAAGGAAGCCGTCTCGAGGGTCCGAAGTCCGGGAAATGCGAAAAGAACATGGTTGGGAACTACACAGGCGAGTTCTTGTGGTCGGAGGTGGATCAAGCGGCATGGTGAAGCCCTTTCGAGGCTGAAGACAGGGTGAATTTCTTTCTTTACAGCACTGTTTGACATGATGAACCTGTTCTCGCGAAGAGAGCAGGGCAAAGGCATAATTTTTTTGGAGGTGCATGTGTGTTCATTCTTCCCTTCTGTCATAGGCCCTTATTTATCCCCTTGCCCTGCTTCTTCCTCCGTGTTCCATCTTCTTCCTTGCGGACTTACTAATCATTAGGCACCCATCTCTCCGCGTCAGCGTGCCACCTCCTGTTTCATCATGTCTCGCCCTACACCTTCAGCTAGCTATCAGGCTTCAGGATCAAGTCTTAGACCCTTCTTCTCGACACCTGTAGATAAAAATCGTCTTGAAAAAACCCTATGAAACCGAAGGCCTCATTTGTCGGAACGGCAGAGCGCAACTAGAGGTTATTGCTTGCTGAACGTCCGGGTGGTACATATTTTGGCCAGAACAATGAGTCATGACGAATTTGAACCCTTTTGTTTCATGTCGCGTGAAACTTCGTAAGGAATGCCTGTTTAGAACCAACTGTCTCCGTCCTTACCTGATGCGCCACCAGGTCGTAAAGAGGAGTTATTTTAGAATATTGCTGTTAGATTGGCGCCAGCTGAAACTGTCACAGCCAGAGCTAGTAGTTCGAAATATCATGTCATAGAGATACATCCTTCGGACTGTATTACACCCTCCCCACCGCCGGTGAGGGTGTCAGCATATTTTAATGGCAATTGATGGGCCTACCCGTTGGCTAGCTTGGGCGCCCCGCGCCCAAGCTAGCCAACGGGTAAATAGGGTCCTCGATTTCTTGCTTTATCTTCTCAACACCCGTGGCATCTCTTCTCGCGAAGGAGAGAGCAAAAGTGGGCATAAAAGTGGATAAAGGGACTTTTCGAAGGTCGAGTATCATACGATCAGATGGTATGTGAAATGCATGTGTTCATTGCTCTGTCCAGTTGCCCTGTATCCGTCTAGCCCTCCCCTTTTATATCCCTCTGTGCCTTCCCTGTGTTCATATCCCGTGTTCAGGTATAATGTACATTCTATCAGGAAGAGGCACTTCTTGCCTCTCACTGAAGGCCGCGTAAGCCATCTACGTCAGCACATTCAGCTCGATCTCCCCGATCAATAATTAGCTTTCCAAGCTATTAGGTCGATAGTTCAATCTCTTGAGGTCCCCGAGCCAGTAAAAGATATACCGGGCTCCTTGGAGGATCCCGATCGAATAGGAGATCCTCCGGACCCCTCAGTGGACCACAAACCTCCCTCCTTACCTGGTTTCGAGCTGTTTTACCTAGAGAGACCTAGAGGCCTCACTTCGTTCGGACCTTCTTCTCGACATCTCTGGCCCTGCGCTTCTGATCAAACTCTTACGTTAATACAGTCCCCATGGCCCGCTATGTCCTCCAGATTTGCCACGCTCTCGTCCAGGAAGATTTGTGACTTCCGCAGTTCCCATTGAGATTCATCGGCGCCGCAATTTCTGTGTGGCTGAGGAAGGCTACTAAAGTAACTCTCCGGGCATGTTGCAAACAGATTATACAAGGCACTGTCGTCGCCTTTGCCGTATTGAAGCTCGGGGTCGAATGTGGCACTGGACGCGCGTATTGGGGCATCACCCCAAGGCAGGTCAGTCAGCGTTACAATGTTGCTCATACTGTCGCCGGATCCAAGTCGATGAAAATGGCAGGGCTTACGGTTCGTTCGTCGGGATTCAGGCATGTTCAAACGTCGAAAAGGAACGAGGAAAGACTTTGTATCTCATGATCCCGAAAAGTACAACCGTTGGAGCTATTCCAGCCCCCTACTGGAAGGGCGAGATGCAAGCCAGACGAGGATGGGTAGCCACATTCAGGAGCACTAGCCACACGGCGTCCATAAGACGGCGTCCGTAGTAAAGTGGTTCGGCGCGCATATCAATTGCCATTTTAATAGCTGACGCTACCACAGCTACCCGTGCCACGCCCACTTTTATTTGGAACTCGCAAGCTCGCACCACCTCGATTGCGATGGATTACCAGGAACAATGCCGCGGAAAAGCAAGAACAGCACCAAGCGCAACTCGAACCAATTCGAGTTGCTCGATGACGAGGATGACGGTACGAACGACAATGTGGCCTGTAGCATCATTGTGGCCAATTCGACAAGCGCGGCCGACGCGACAAGGACCAGCGCTCGCGGTCGCCCTCTGAAACCGACACTGCAATTCGACCCAGAACCGCGCCCATCACGAAAGAAATCCGCCGTCCCGAAAGCGAAATCGACGAATGCCGACCCCGGTGCCAACGAGGATTCATTGGCACGAATCGAAGCTCTCTTGAAACGCGTCGAGGCGGGCCGAAAGGGCAGGGAAACGCGTCGAGTCCTTGGAAGAGTTCATTCGAAACGAGCTCTTCCCACGCGTCGCTAGCCCTCCGAGTCCACTCCAAATGCGCCTCATCAGCAACAGCAACAGCACCTGCCACCTTCGCCACCACCCTCTCCAGTCCCAGGACCACTGCCAGGCATTGGGTTGGACGTGAGTCGGGTCCTAGATAGTGACATAAAGGAAGGCAATGCCGGCACTATTCGTCGGCGCGCGAACGCTGCCCTTGAGAATTTGGGTGTGACCTGTCTTGGCGTCAATTCTAAAGAAACGGGCGTTTTCGGCTTCTCTTTCGAGAGACGGACGTCGATAAAGTACGGCAGAACGACACCTGGATAAGGACCCATTTCGACAAGGGAACGCTATGGGGAGCAGTGGTACCCTCTACGGGTTGATAGAGCCCATCGTGGGGTTGCGACGGATGATATCGGATGCGCCGTGTTTGGGCGGATGAACGGGGTGAAAGTGCACAAGATGCGATGGCTCGGGACAGCGTCTGTCGACAAGGAGTACCGCTCTCTGGTGGTACACCTGGATAAGAAAGAGGAGGTGGACAGGTTGCTTGCAAAACGAACGGTTGAGATGGCGAATGGCGAGTGTGCATACACGCGACCATTCGTTCAGGGACTTCAACCAGCGAGATGCTACCGTTGCCACCTCTACGGACACTTGCATTATCGCTGCAAGGCCCCAGCTCCGATCTGTGGACAGTGCGGCCAACCGGGCCATTCTGCGTCGACTTGCACCTCGAACGTTTTTAAGTGTGCAGCGTGCGGTGGAAAAGGAGCACACAAGGCTACAGATCCTGGGTGCCCGGTATATCGCCGGGAACTCGCCAAGTTACGACCGTCGCCCTACTAACATACATCCTCTGTCTTAACCTTTTCTTTTCAGCACAAACCCTCTACCTATACCTGTGGTTGCCCCACAGCTGGTAGGTTAGCTACACCGGACGGCTAAAGGCAGGTGGACTCTTCGTCAAATGCGGCGGAGGAGAGTGGTCTGTACTCATCAGACAGGCTCCAGAATTGGAAAGGGACAGGTCAAATGAGCAAGAGACGGATTGAAGGATGTAAGAGAAATTTAGGCATTCGATCGGGACGAATTCCTTGGGCTCGGAACCGAGAATTGGACAACTCTAGATTAGGCTTAGCGAGTCTGACGCAGTGCCTCTGACTATCGTCAATGGCGAAATAAACATCATCATCGATTGCGATGACATAAGTGCTTACCGGCTGGTCTGCGTCGTGGAGGCATGACAATCGTGACAAGCAACCTGTCCGTCCTGCAAGTCATTGCGCGGCCGCGACGGCAGTCGGGACAACGTACGATCCGCGAGATATACGAATGCGTCGAGACTTTGCGGAGAAGAGGATGCAGCGTTGCCCTTCGATGGGTACCCGCCCACGAAGACTTCACGATGAGCCCGCTGGCTAAAGCAGCCGCGAAGAGAGCAACCAGGGACGAATGCGCTGCCGAACCAGCGGCATTCAAAGCAAGGTCAACGACGCTACGACTGCTGCTCAACGGACAGAGACAGATCAACCAAATTCCAGAACGAGTCGGAAGTGGTCGAGAAAGATTGACAAGGCGCTACCCAGTCGGCACACTCGAAAGTTATATGACGAACTGACAAAGAAAGAAGCACGCGTGCTGGGGCAACTTCGCACCGGCAAATCTCGACTGAACAATTACCTTTACAAGATAGGAGCTGTGGATTCGGATGAGTGCATGTGCGGACAGACAGCAGAGACAGTGGAACATTTCCTTTTCCGATGCAATAGGTGGACATCACAGCGAGAGATCATGCTTCGGTACACACGCGACAAGATTGGGGACCTATCGTTCTTCCTGGGAGGCAAAGCAGCATCAGACAATGACAAGTGGCAGCCGGATATGAAGGCTGTACGAGCGACAGTACAGTTCGCGTTGGCAACCAAACGCCTCAACATGGACCAGCAGATGACGAACTAACCACAGACCGAAGACACACAAGCATTAAACAGCCTTCCACGTGACAGACCGCGCTTCAGCCGCTGAAGGTAGGACGCTGAACACTTGGAGAAACTGACCTTCAAGCAGGCCTGTCATGTCACAGCGATCGAGGCTGAAACAGATGAAAAGAAGTGTGGTGTTGGAATACTAACCTGCTGAGTAACCCGTGCAATCGGGATACCATCACGGTTCATGCACGACTCCACGTGACACCCTACCCGCGATCAGGGCACGCAGCCCCGGCTGCATGCCCCCATTACCAGGTGCACATTCCGTTTCTTGTGAATAGCTTCCTCTTCCCTAGTTAGTTACAATTGAAGTCATCACCGGTTACCCTACCTGTCGTGACTGTGACTCAGCCTACAGCTTGTGCGCATGCGTATCTGTAGGCACATAGGTGCCTACCATCATGTGGGGCTTTAGGTGAGATGGGACCATGTACAGAAGGGTTAATAGCTTAGCGTAGTGGCTCTATAGGGGGAACCCTCCGGGCGTAATACAACAAAAAAAAAAAAAGGTGGTGCTCTTCGTTGGGTGCCTGCAAAGAATGAGGAGTTCACTCTAGGGCCACTGGCCAAAATGCAAGCGAAAGAGCGACGCGAGACGAGTGCATCGCCGAACCAGCAACGTTTCAAGCAAGATCAACGACGTTACGACTGCTGCTCAACGAACACGCTCGCGTTCGTCAGATCCCGGAAGGGGTTGGAAAGCACTCAAAGCGCATCGATAAGGCATTGCCGGGCAAGCACACCCGCAAGTTGTACGACGAGCTAACAAGAAAGGAATCCGAAGTGTTGATACAACTTCGAACTGGCAAATCGCGGCTGAATAGCTACCTCTGCAAAATCAGGGCGGTGGAATCGGATGAGTGCACTTGTGGGCAGTCTGCAGAAACAGTGGAGCATTTCCTCTTTCGATGCAGAAGATGGACGGTACAACGAGAGACCATGCTGCGATATGCGCGCGGAAAGGTGGGAGACTTGTCTTTCTTCCTAGGAGGCAAGGCAGAGTCAGACGACGACAAGTGGCAACCTGATATTGGGGCTGTGCGTGCGACGATACAGTTCGCATTGGCGACAAAACGCTTCAGTATGGACCGTTAACGGGCCATGTACTGATCAAGAACAACCATACTAACACAACAGCCTTCAACTTGGCAGACCGCGCTTCAGTCGCTGAAGGTAGGACGCTGAACACTTGGAGAAACTGACCTTCAAGCAGGCCTGTCATGTCACAGCGAACGAGGCTGGAAACAGATGGAAAGAAGCGTTGGGCTTTAGGTGAGAAGAAACCATGTATAGTAGGTACGTAGCTTAGCGTAGTGGCTCTATGGGGGAACCCTCCGGGCGCAATACAACCAAAAAAAAAAAAAGTGGTGCTCACCACCGATATAACCTTAACCACACCACCGCAATAACCAGAATTTCGACCCCAGGCCTTCAACATCCCTGCATCTCAACCAATTCACGATTTTGTGACTAGCCAAAATGGAAGCACGTATTCAAGACGCTCTTAAACATATTGACAATTTTCCTGGTGCCAAAGTGGCTACGGTGGCGCGAGAATTCAGTGTACCACGCGGTCGATTGCGATACCGTCTTCAAGGCCGTCCTCCTAAAACTGCCCAATCAGCCAAGAACACGAGGCTTTCGCGACCAGAAGAGAATGCATTGTGTCGCTATATCGATCGTCTGGACAATGTGAACCTTGCGGTACGCATCGAGTTCGTTACTGACGCGGCAAACTGCATCTTGCGTGAGCGGTCTGGCCAGAGCGACGCTCCTACCGTGGGGCCAAACTGGACTTCTCGCTTCTTGAAGCGTCACGGCTACTTCAAAAGCGCCAAAGAAGCTTCACGCAGGCGTCAAGTCTCTGAGGATCTTACGAGTTAACCAGTATTTCCAGTGTCTTCAGCAGGTTATCCAAGACAATGGTATACCTCCCGAGGACATCTGGAATATGGACGAGACTGGTTTTCGCATCGGGGTTGGCAAAGACCAGCTGATTGTGACAAAACGGAGGAGAGCTCATTATTTTGGCATTCCTGAGAATAGGGAATCTGCCACTGCGATCGAAGCTATCTCAGCGAATGGGGAGGTTGTTCCGGCATTTTTGATACTCGCTGGCCAGATGCACATGGCTTCATGGTATCAAATACCTGAGCTGGCTCCTGACACAGTTATTCGACCCACGCCTACTGGTTACTCAAACGACGTGATTAGTTTGGAGTGGCTCCAGCATTTTGACAAGCACTCGGAAAAAAGCTCAAGAAGCTCGAAGCGTCTTCTGATTCTCGATGGTCATGGCTCTCACCATACCAGGCAGTTCATTGAATACTGCGACAACCACAATATTATTCCCTTCGGGATGCCACCGAATCTCACGCATGTACTTCAGCCTTTGGACGTTGTGGTTTTCCAGCCACTAAAGCATTATCACGCCAAGGCCTTAGATCTCATGGTTCGAGATGGTGATGCATTTTGCATATGGATGAGATGAAGTGGGATCGATGTCTCTCCAACTAAGCTATGACTGCCTCATCCTTATGTAGGAGGCAGCCAGGTCGGACTATCTAGGCGATCCGGCCGGTTTACAAGGCAGCCACATACCGATGCCTGTTCACACGGCTGCCTGTTTCACACGGCTGCCTGTTTCACACGGCTGCCTGTTCACACGGCTGCCTGTTCACATGGCTGTGCGTGCGGCAGCCGGTGTCCTTGATGCTTGGTGCCGTGCCCAACGCTCCAGTGTGCGTAGGGACACGCAAAAACGCATCAGATGGCCTCATCAACATAACCAAGCTTGAGTTTCTCTCCTGCATTCAACAAGTACGATTGCAAGCCTTCAAGGAGAGTACTATACGCTCCGCATTTCGCAAGACAGGAATATTCCCATTCAATCCACAAGTAGTACTTCAATGTTTGGAAGCTCGTCAAGCCAGGACACCCACCTCCTCCCAATTCAGAACCACACTCTTCACCTTTCGGGACACCATTGACTCTACGACAAATAAACAAAGTAGCGGAAAAATTAGAGATCGTCCTTGAAGAGTATGAAAGCCTGGATCCCGACTTTTCTCATGATCTCAGTCGATTTATTCGAGGATCGCGATCTCTGGCTACTGAGCTCGTGCAGACTAAAAGGGACTTGGGACGAACCAAAATGGCGGAGCGGATCCAAAAACAACGTAAGGCTATGAAGAATATACAGTTACAATCAGGAGGAGTGCTATCGGTAGCCCAAGGACGGAAATGGTGCAACAAAGGGAAGATGATCAGATTGCTAAAGCAAGGAAGGTAGTCGAAGACGCGGAGAAAAAGGCGCATAATGGACGCAAGCGATGGTTTGAGGAAGCAGCAAAAAGGCACGCCAATGGAGGGCTTCAGGAAGGTTAGAACGAGTGGAAATACGCGATTCTGAGCGTGGTACGCGGTGGTTGAAGCGATTCTAGGTCGGGGGGTCGAAATTCTGGTTATTGCGGTGGTGTGGTTATATCGGTGGTGAGCACCACTTTTATTTTTATTTTTAGTTGTATTACGCCCGGAGGGTTCCCCTATAGAGCCACTACGCTAAGCTATTAACCCTTCTGTATCTCACCTAAAGCCCCACACTTCTTTTCATCTGTTTCCAGCCTCGATCGCTGTGACATGACAGGCCTGCTTGAAGGTCAGTTTCTCCAAGTGTTCAGCGTCCTACCTTCAGCGGCTGAAGCGCGGTCTGTCACGTGGAAGGCTGTTTAATGCTTGTGTCTTCGGTCTGTGGTTAGTTCGTCATCTGCTGGGAGCACCACCTTTAGGTGGTGCGAGCTTCAGTTCAAAATAAAAGTGGGGCGTGGCACGGGTAGCAGTTCGACATGTGCCCTGACTTCTGACTCACATCGCAACAGATAATAAGACATACAAGTGATGAAATAGAGTGTACTCAAGCTTCAAAATACCCTCCACCACGTGCAAGCTGGTACTGTACCGCACCCGCAACAGGTTGCTTCCAACGCGGACGATTCTGGCAGAACGCCTCCAATTCCGGTACGGGAACTTGTTCAAATAGGCCCAACTTCAAAATTACCTTGCCTGGGAGTAGCTCACTGTGTGACATGATAGGGCTAAAACGTGAGACAGATATTAGTGTCACATCGTTTCTTCATGACCTTGCCCTTTGACTCAAAATTCTGTGTTACCTGCCATCGACGCCACAGAACGTCCGTATTACCGGCCGGCCCGACGAAGTGTCAAGGTCATTATATGTCTTCAGAGTGCCAGATTTATCACTGATGTCGACTCTGCTCTCTTCGATGATGAGGTTGGCGGCCACTACGCTGCCAGACGCTTTTGACAATTTCTGCAGTGGCAAAGGTGGCCGCGCGTTTGCGTGGAAGACCACTCCTCATCGAGGATGGTAACGGAAACGGAGCCGCAGAGGCAGGTGCCTACTACCGGTTTGTATGCTTGTATCTGCACCGAAGCCATGACTATGGCGGACGTGTGGGGGTCTGTTTTGAGGCGAGCGAGCGCAAGGAAATTGGACAAAGTGGATGGGCTCGCATTCCAGGCCGTCCGGGGTTATAAAAACCTCGGCGATTAGCCCAGAGATGGAAGTCAAATCACAGTCGCTCACAAGCTGACACCACGAGAGCCAACACGCTACACAGCCTTTCGGTCAGGGGTGCTAGTCCGCGGGTTCCAGAACCCCTCACGATCAGCCTGCCCAAGACCCTGGTTGCTACCGGCATGTCTTTCCAATTACCGTAGTTATATGGCCTTGTGCAAAGTGCCACTTCAGCAGCTACGCAATCCACCCTCAGAAATACTGTGCAGCGGCACCATCTCGACAAAGACGGTAAGTTAGCCACTGTATCTTGAAATTATTTACTACTTTGTATTGTTCTTCCAGCAGCAGAGTCACTATCATGCTTTTACCATGCAGGCACACTACTGTACAATAAGTGTTATTGCTCAGTAGATCTAGTCAAGGGTGGTGATTTTGCTAGTGCTGTGCGTCATAAGCATAGCATCATATGACACTAGCTCGTTAGCTCACATCGACGATTGCCAGATTTTGCATTGAGGAGGGCGTTGCCAGTGTGGCTAACAAACCGACCCGTCTGACAGACCGTCTGACAGACCACCTTCAGACCGCAGACCGACCGACCAGGGAATCTCATCAGACCGACCGGCGACCGACCAGAGCTGCCGGTCGGATTGAGTGGTCTGAGTCGGTCTGGGTTCCGGGTTTCCAGGCCTACCATTGGCCAGTCTGAATATCCAGGTACCTGCACCGCCCTCTTGGTTTTATTTTTTTACTTGTATTACGCCCGGAGGGTTCCCCCCATAGAGCCACTACGCTAGCCTGTCTACCTTCTGTACATGGTTCCATCTTCACCCAAAGCCCCACGCTTCTTTTCATCTGTTTCCAGCCTCGTTCACTGTGACATGACAGGCCTGCTTGAAGGTCAGTTTCTCCAAGTGTACAGCGTCCTACCTTCAGCGGCTGAAGCGCGGTCTGCCAAGTTGAAGGCTGTTGTGTTAGTATGATTGTCCCTTGATCAGTACATGGCCGGTTGCCGGTCCATACTGAAACGTTCTGTTGCCAATGCGAACTGTATTGTCGCATGTACAGCCCCCGTATCGGGCTGCCACTTGTCGTCGTCTGACTCTGTCTTGCCACCTAGGAAGAAGGACAGGTCTCCCATCTTTCCGCCAGCATATCGAAGCATGATTTCTCGCCCTCTTGGTTTTTTTTTGGTTTTTTTTTTGTGTATTTCACCCGGAGGATTTCTTCTATAGGGCCTAGACGTAAAAGCTACTGACATTTCAATACATTAATGCGTAACACCTTAAGCCCCACGGCGCCCTCTTGGTTGGTATGGATTTATTCCGCCGGAGGAGGTCCCTATAGGGCCTAGACACTCTGGCTATTGACGGTTCGATACACTGATGCATGACACCCCAAGCCCCACATATCATCTTACGCTGCGCCAACCATTCCACTGTTCGCTCCATGACAGACCTGCTTGAAGGTCAATTTCTCCAAGTGTTCAGCATCCTATTCCCAGCAACTGAAGCGCGATGTGTCGAAGTTGAAGCGTGGTTGTGTTAGTCATTGATGGTGGTTGGTACGCCGATTGTGTTCTCTCATGACGCTGTTCCCTGTTGACGGGCGGGAACCGGGTGTACCCTGTTCGCCCAGGGTGCCTCAGCCGGCTGAACCGACCCCTCTGCGACGCAGAGGCTCCAGACGTGTCACCACTACGCCATGGAGGCCGCCCTCTTGGTTTTGCGGGTGTGAGCTTGCGGTTTGAAATTAAGTGGGTCGCTGCAAGGACAGCCAATGAGAAATCAGCTAACCCAGACCAAGACCGACTGAGCTGCTAACTCAGACAGACCTAGACCGACCGCCCGCGAGCCCTGAGGAACCCAGACCGACCGCCCGCAGGTGCCGGTCTAGGTCTGTCGGTTTGTTAACCACACTGGTTGGCAACGCGGCGTTGCCAAACCTCTCCCACTGCAATGATAAATCCAGCAACGTGCGCCAGACTTGACTTGAAACCCTGTAGCGCTTGCAAAGGCCACTCAATCCAGCGCTGACTTCAATTCAAGTAAGTCAAGTTTGAGGTGTAACGATTACTTGAAATGAAATCACCTGTCAACTTGATTAACTTGAATTGAATTGATATATTTGATATACTTGATATCTGAGGTCAGGTCACGTTCAGGCATAGGTATCAACATGCCTCTCGTCGCGAACTGAAGTCTTGAGGGAAAAATTGACGGGGTGAAACCGTGCTATGCTCCACTTTATTTGGAGCACTAAAATTCGCCCACCTAAGTGGGGATGCGATACGCGTAGACCCCGATCTGCACCGAGACACATTTTCTGCAAAAGCAAAAACACGCGCGATTTGCGACTTCTGCTGCGCCCAAGGATAAGGTTACCACCTGCGACTGGTGCGATGGCTGGAAGCCTTCATCACATACCCTACAGCTTGAGTCGATAAACCTGGAAAAATATCATTTCAAGTATATCAAGTATATCAAGTTCGGGCATCATAAACTTACTTCCTTGAAATAAATTCAGCGGTCAACTTATTGACTTACTTGATATACTTGAATTGATACTTGAATTGAAGTCAGCGCTGACTCAATCCAAACCAACGCCGATATTAAATAATATTACATCACATCGCATCAATCCACGCCAGCTGGCTGCGTAATAGTTGGACAAGAAGACCAGTTAACAGTTCTCTCAGCTGCACAGTTACATATATGCTGAGATGCCCTCGAAGTTCAAAAGATGGGGCCACGCATCATCCTGGGTCTGATGACTTTGGACCCAGCCTGGAAGATGGTGCAAGAATCACTGAATTAGAAACATTCGACAAAGTTCTCGACTTATTCCAGACCAGAGGATACAGCGAATTAGACACAGCTCGTCTCTATGTTGGCACCAAACAAGAAGCTTTTACAAGGAAGCCAAGTGGAAGGAGGGGACTGACCTTAGCCACCAAGGTGCACTACCCAGTATCACAAGGGATAACACGGCTGAAAGTGATTGCTTCGGTGGAGACCAGTCTCAAGGAGCTGGGTACGGATTGCGTAGATGTAAGTCGTTTCTGGTATCTCACTCTTGAAATGCTGAAGCCAAATTGAAAACTAATCATAACCTGCTTATAAGATCCTCTACCTGCACAAACCAGACCGTACTACGCCGTTCCAAGAGACACTTGGAGCCATGGACAAGCTTCACAAGGCCGGCAAGTTCGTTCGTTTCGGTATTAGCAATTTCACCGCGTACGAGATGGCCGAGGTCATGATGATTTGCAAATATAACAACTGGGTGCGCCCCAGTATTTTCCAGGGTATGTACAACTGCATCACGCGCAATATTGAGACCGAGCTTTTTACTGCCTGTCGCCGCTATGGTCTGGACATCGTAGCATACAACCCTCTCGCTGGCGGTCTATTCTCTGGCAAGATCAAGTCGCATGACATGGTACCCGAGCGGTCGGTTCTCGGATACCAGCTCAGGTCAGGGTGGAATGTATCGAAAGCGCTACTTTCGCGAGCACATTCAAGGCTATTCAGTTGGCTGAAGGGGCTGTCGAGAAGCACAGCTTGACCATGATCGAGGCAGCGCTGCGCTGGGTAGTGCATCACTCCGAGCTCAAGATCAATGACGGTAACGATGGTATTCTCATTGGTGTATCAAGTGTCGCACAGTTGGACGATAACTTGACCTACCTGGAGAAGGGACCCTGCCGGAAGAAGTCGTCAAAGCTCGACGAGGCCTGGCAAATCTCCAGGGCTGATTCACCAAATTACTGGCACGGTGACTTGGACTATGGTTATGACACGATACAGGCTCTGTTTGGGCCTGGCGCGCAGTAGGCGCGAAAACGACTGCAAAAAAGCAAAGCGCGGCGAAGTGAGTTAGCAGATTTGATATCAAGCAAAGATAGAATTTTTCCCCGACTTAGAGTGTTGTCATCGATATTCTCTATCCGGATGTACGTGGACTACTTCGTATTGCCAGATATTATCGCGAATGACGACATGCATTAAGATAAAATATGCTGATGTCGAGAAGAAGGGTCTAAGACTTGATCCTGAAGCCTGATAGCTAGCTGAAGGTGTAGGGCGAGACAGGGTGAACAGGAGGTGGCACGCTGACGCGGGTGTTGGGTGCCTAAGTTAATAAGTCCGCAAGGAAGAAGATGGAACACGGAAGAAGAAGCAGGGCAAGGGGATAAATAAGGGCCTATGACAGAAGGAAGAATGAACACACATGCACCCCAAAAAATCATGCCCTTTGCCCTGCTCTCTTCTAGGAGTGCATTCCACTTTTGCCTGAGTGGCGTACTGTCTTCGCAAGAGTTATGAGCCCGGGAGGGGGCGTGGCACGGCCTGTAACTTCCGGTGACTGCGCGCGGTGCGGGGTTCAATCCCCGTAGGCGGCACCCCTCTTGGATTCCCCCTTACCCGGGCATTGGCGCGTGTGTTCGACTCCCGCATATTTGGCTTGGTCCAGGAATCCCGCGGAGCCGTGGTCCCTGAGGGGGTGTGTTGAGAAGAAGACTGTCGAGGGGAACACTTGTTGGTCGGAAGGTAGACACGTCGCCAGATACCGTATTAACTCACTAAATTGAGCCGGTCTCAACGTCTGGGAAAGAGGGGGCCCCGCATGTCTCAGCGCCACTAAATTTGTATACGCTACGTACCTAGCTGTCCCCGCCCGAGCCATCCTTAGTCGGCTCAAATAGAAAATAGGGCAAAAAATGCGTCGAGCCGACTAAGGATGGCTCGGGCGGGGACAACTAGGTACGTAGCGTATCTAATTTAGTGGCGCTGAGTACGCCCTCTTTCCCAGACGTTGAACGGCTCATTTGTGAGTTAATACGGATATATCTGCAGGGTGTGGAAAGCTCTGATGATGCTGATGCTGGCTACTAGCCCCATCCCTAGTGGAGGGCGCGCAGACTATAGACCTGTGCGAGGCTGCAATCCCTGCAAATAAGGGCTGAGGCTGCACCAGCGTTTGTGCAGTGAACTGGCCCTGCACCTGGGGTGGATCCTGCCCGTGATTCTGCCCGGTTTGCAACAGAAACCACGGATAATTTTGCCACCTGTCATATCATGTGGCGAGTGTACGACTGGCCTTATCATATCTGAACAGACATACTGGATATTATCCGCCTTGGCGTTGCTACCTCCCCGTTGTTGTCGCGAAGACCATTGCGCCAATCAGGCAAAAGTGGAATGCGCGCTCCGAAAGGCGCACTACAATTGACACATATGTCTTTCTTTCCAACACATCCCTCAGGGATGCCGGGCCATACCCGGGATGCCTGGACCAACTGCTAAGTCACCCCCTTTCCAACGTAGTCTCCTATGTCGCGAAGACCGTTGCGCCACGTAGGCAAAAGCGGAATGCACACTCCAACAAGTGCGCTGCAATCAACACATATCTGACCCCGCCTTCCCGACATTGTCGGAAAACGCGGTTGTCAGATATGTGTCAATGCAACGCACCTGTCGAAACGCGCGTTCCACTTTTGTCGGGAAGGCGGGGTATGTGTTGATTGCAGCGCACTTGTTGGAGTGTGCATTCCGCTTTTGCCTGCGTGGCGCAACGGTCTTCGCGACATCCTATGGGTATCCGTACGCTGACGGGATTCGAACCACGGGGCCTACTCGAGTGTGTCGCGCGCGCAGTCTAACCGGAAGTTGCAGGGTGGTGTGCCATCCCTCCCGGCTCATACCTGTTGCGAAGACAGTACGCCACTCAGGCAAAGTGGAATGCACTCCAACAAGTGCCCTGCAAGTAACGTATATATCTGGCGACGTGTCTACCTTCCGACCAACAAGTGTTCCCCTCGACAGGCTTCTTCTCAACAAATCTGCAACGGTCAATTCCAAATCTGCATTGTTTATTGAGAGCCAACCCAACTAGCAACCAATTCCATCGCTCACCAAAGATGTTGTCAAGCGTCTTACCGTTCACAGTTAGTTCCTTGCCAGAATAGCAGCTTTCGAATCGTGTGCTAAAGCCCTGGTCTTAGCCGAGATGGCGGTGGAGGTGACCAACTACTGCACTGAGCATTCGAAGAAGGTCACAGAGCAAATGGATGAACTCTGGGACTGGACTTGCCAAAATTTTGCCGACGCCGACAAGATGTCTTCGCCATTGCAAGGAGCAACAATGACGTTTCTGGCAGAGTTTGTGAGAGCTCGTCGCAGTACATATGCCGCTTAATACCCCGAGCTGAGACCCGAGTGAGCTAACGTGCTAGGCAGTTCTTGAAATAGGTTGCTATACAGGTTACAGCGCCTTGGCCTGGTACGAAGGCACTAGAAAAACTAATGCAGAGATCATCTCGCTGGAGGCCGACCCGAAGATGATTGCAGCCTCGCGCAACATTTGACAAATACAAGGTCAACGACCGACTAACTCGTCGAAGGCCCTGCTCAAGACTCGCTGAAGAAGCTGAGCGGCCAGTTTGACATTATTTTGTTGATGCAAACAAGGAGGGCTACCAAAATTATGTACAATATATTTTGGATCATAAGTTGTTAGCCCCTGAAGGGTTGATCATGTGTGACAATGGTGAGAAGCAAGTTCAGAAATATCCAGGGTCGGAATACTAACCAAATGACTCAATAGTCTTTGCTAGGGGTATGACTATTTCCACGAATGCCAACCCTCTGCTGTCTGGAGAGTCCCGCTCTTACTGGACGGAGAACGGCAAGGCACTTCGAGGCTTTTGTGACTTTTGCCGCGAAGACAAACGCATCGACGTTCTTCTCCTGCCTCTCTTCGACGGCGTAACCCTTGCGAAATGGGTGCCAAGCTCGCGCCATGAAATTATGTCTTCGACTCATGATGCATTGGAGGATAAAGGCTGCTCCTTGACAGTCGGAGGGCAGGTAATGCGTCGACTTAACATAAAGTGATTTGCCGAATTTCGTTGCCAGGATAAGGTCTCGCGAAGAGATGCAACCCTTTGTGTCAAGCGATCCAGTTTTCCTGTTGCTCCTGCTGCATCTCTTCCAACTGTCGCAGCTTGGCGTGTTTTCCTCCTCTTGTGTAGCGAGTAGTCCCAACAAAGTTTCCGTCTCCTCGATCTTGGCGTGTTGTTCCTCCTCTTGTCTAGCGAGCATCCCCAACAGCGTTTCCTTATCCTCGATCTTGGCCTGCGCTGCGGCAAGCAGAGCATTGAGCTGATCTAACTTTGACCGCTCATTCTCAATGTCTCGCCGTAATAGCTGCAGCGTGGACCTCTGGTCATCAGCTCGATGCGAGTCGTCGTGTGGCGCGTCCAGCTCCGGGTCAAGGGCACGTGCGATGAGAGCCTGCTTAACTCCACATGATTTGAGACCTCCAATGGTGGGGATGTCCGGTCAGTCATGGACACATCTCGATTTGTCGCGTCGCGGTCTGCAGTGCAGCCCTGGGTCGATGGAGGTTGTCGAAGTAGGCCAAATACACCGACCTTCTGATGAACAACGAGCGCAGCTCGGTCTGATCCGATTCTGCCGCTTCGTCCAGCTTCGGAAGGAACAGCCGGGTTTATCGCGTTCGTGATCCAGATCGTGGGGTATTCCGTATCGGTTTGGAGGCTGGACGCGCACGCTGGTATCCGCATGCTCCGATGCTTCGGCGTCGACATCGGAACGGCCGTCGCGAACACGTCAACCACTTGTTGGATGCGCTGCTCGCGATTTGCGTACCGGAACCGCCCTGGCTTCCGAGCGGCCAGCAGAGCGTGTTCAGCGATGGCCCTCCGGTGACGCCTGCAATATCTTTCTCACTTTCCGACTCGAAACCAAGTCGCGAGGCAAGCGAGGCGAGGTCATGAAGTGCACTCGTCTGGTTTCATTCGCGCTTTCGCCAAGCGGTCTTTCTTTTGCGCGTCGGTCGGCAGGTCTTGATACATGCGGAACGCGGCCATGAGCCGCATCCCCAAGTCAAGTCTCAGCGCGGCATCTCCTGCAATAGTTCCAAAGCTCCCATCTGAGATCTGAATCACGCACCGGTCGCTCTGCTGGTTGACGTCCGTAAACATGTCTTCCAGGCGGCCTGCAATGGTGTCGCGTGGTCCTGTATCCACGATTTTCTTCATGCACTCCGCAGCACATGCCAGAAACTTGCGGTCTTCGAAGAAAGCGAACAGTGACGGAATCAACTGTGTGCGAAGCGCCGCAGACTTTGGGCCACATCGCCTCGCGCTGTGGCTCCGAATGGTTGCCAAATATTTGCCCGCTTTTCAATCTCGCAAGCAAGTCATCGTGATCTGTCCTGCAGGCTCCAGGAGCCCTACCCTGCAGAGCCTTCTGCAGACTTCCCTTCTTACCTGGTTTCAAGCTGTATTATCTAGAGAGACCTAGAGACCTCAACTCGTTCGGACCTTCTTCTCGACACAATTTGCACAAACCAGGCAAGAGTAGTATCACATCGTCAGATTAGATTATAGCCCAAAAAAGGCGCAAGAAGTTGCACGATCGAGTCACCGAAGAATTATCTCTTTTGGGTGTTGTGTACCGGTACGGGGCTTGAGGACGTGATGGTTTTAAGATTTTAATAATAAAGTTGCAGCTTACAGTCCGCCCCAGAATTGGGAAAAGATATCAATTTACGTTGCTAGAGGCAGCATATAATAGCAGCAGGCTCCATAAGACTAATGCATCTGCTTCAAGCCTCATATATTGATGCGAGAGGTATGATAAATGTGCGATGCGCAATTGCTGCAAAAGGCGATGCAGGTATACTACAGTGGGGTGTAGCCTGATGTGACGCATGCGGTGGCCGGTATTTTTTTGGTGCGGTTTTTGCCAACCTTGCCTAATGTGCGACCGTACTGCAGCTCTTTGTTCCGGCTCGCTATTGGTCAAGTTGGTCAGATTAAGGCCAAAATCGGGCGTCCCAGAATGAGCTTGACGTCCAATCACATCCCTCAAGGTTGGATGATTGGAAGCCGGTGGCTTGCTTCATCAAGACTAGTCGAGCGGTAAAGTTCAGTGATCGTGAAGCGGTCTGGCGATTGGAGAGCGCAATAAATATTGCACATCTGATCTGCTTTTACCCTGTCGCGTCTGTTTCGTGTTTGTCGGCGGGGGGCAAGGTGAACTGAGGAAAGGCTTCAACGTCAAGTTCTGCCTGGCAGAGAGTATGGGAAGTGTGACCAGATGCTACCCTAAAGACATGAGATGAAAGCTACGCAGAGGCTCGTTTAACTCTCCCCTGTAAAAATTCTTCCCCCGTCAGAGCTGTTAGCGGCTCGCTAGCAGGGGGCCGGATTTGCAGGCCACCCGACCGCGCTTGCTGCCCGGGTCCATCGTGGCCCTAACAGCACAGAGGAAGACATTAGGAGAGTTCATATTCCTCTGCAAAGCCGGTCTCGACAACACGTCCACGGACCTCGCTTCCTTCGGAACCAGGGCTGTGGGTATTGGAAGGCCGCCCTTCTAAACAACGGTGGCTGGTTGCGCAGGTTTTTCTCCCTGAAGGCAAGCTGCACGACAGCCTCTGATTCCTTCGAGGTTTTCCTGCCGCCGCTCCTGCGCTATTTCCATCGCCTGGTTACCGAAGCATGGACTGCGACAGCAGCGTTAGCGAAGGCGAGAGAATTCTGACCGGACAAAACCAAGGGTTGACCATTGTGGCAATCGCCACGCGCCTGGACGACCCGCTGACGGGCACCAGGCTCCGACACTGAGCGCCTTAGAGCCGATGAAATGCTGGATGGACTTCGGAAGGCTGGCTGCAGAGGATAGCCACGGACACTTGTATTGACGGGCTTAGCGACAACCTACCGGTGGAGGGTAGGAAAGCCGTCTCCGGGGATTGAGCCGACAGCTCGCCCTTGCGAGGTGCTTGCAAGAAGCGCTGGGTGAGGCCTACTGTGGCAGGATTTTCTCGATAGCCTAGCTCAGCGTCCTGTGCCCCACCGGGACCTGAGCGGCCCGCGGCGCCACACGACACACACGCAGACTCGTTCTGCCCTGGCAACGCTTTGATATCTCGTAAGGCCGTATTCTAAGCGCGGGGGCCGGCGGCATTACTAAGGTCTTACGCCCTTTAGTTGGCAAAAAATCCGTGACATCACAAAATTCCGTGACAGTCGCCTCTCTTTTGAGTACCGTCTCAATTGCCGTCAACGCGTATTTTCAACCCAAACCAACGAGAGGTTATTCTCTATTTCATACGGTATGACTCCCAATGACAATGCCCTAGCCGCCGCGCAAGTCATCGCCTCTCGCCGGCCGCCTAGAGCGGCCCTACGTCGTGCCACAACACCACAACGAACCCCCTTTCTATCCGCAAAGCGGCTTACGTACAAAGTCAATAGAGGCGCTGTCGAGAGGGCCATCCGTTCTTTGGAAAACCCATTTGCCCGAGGTCAGGGGCGCCCAACTGCGTTGACTGAGGATGAAGATAACGCCCTGTGGCGTACATACAGTGGATGGAGCGTACTGGTATAATTGGTATTCCAGCGGGAAAGAGCGGCGAGGCTGCCGCAAATACAATCAGGCAGCGACGAGATCCATCATCAAGACCTATGTCTCAGAACTGGCTCGCAGGCTGGCGCCAAAGTCACCCTGAGGTCAAGAAGACTTACTTGAAGGCCGTCGAGAGCACGGAAGTCTTTTGAAGCGCAGAGTGTTGAGGAAGTGAATGACTTCTTCTCTAACCTCGACGAGACTATCAAGAAGTTTCGCATTGGGGCATCGGAGATTTGGAATGAAGATGAAGCTGGCATTCGGATCGGCTGCTTGCGAGAACGCGTACGTTCTGTTGAGACATGGACCAAGACATGTTTAGGCAGCAGTTACAAGTGGTGAGTCACTGGATAGTGGCACGGACGTGCCACTATGTATTGCAGTACGAGATGGGCAGCAAGCATTGATCTTGAGTGGAATAAAGCTCTTGATTCTTCTATCTAGAGAGAGTGTAGATGATCTTATAGATAGAAGAACAGTGGAAGTGAATGAATAACCCAGCTGTTGGGTTGTGGCTGTGTAAAGCGTAGGCAAAAGGAAGGTTAATTGCCTGCATTAGCCTAGGTTGACTGGAAGACCAAATGAGCCTTGGCTGGTAAGGGATTTCCCGGTGATCTGCCGGATCGGACGATTCGCCGGATTTTGGTTCCCTTGCATTCCGGTGAAGATTTGAGTGAAACTCCACGAAAATAATATGAAACAATCTCACATTAAAGCAGAAGCAAGAAAGATGCCTAGCAATTCCATTCAATCTACTTCGCAGTCATCAAGCCACCGTGGCCGCTTCCTGTGGCGTCCCGCGCAGTCCCCGCATTGCGACTACCATCTCTGGTCGCGCTCGACAGCCAATGATGGCTTTTGGGACGTGAGAAGTGGTCAATGCCGGCTTTGGATCTTTACGCAACAATGTTTGGCGATTTTGAGTGTTCCGGAGCTGTCGTCGGTTCTGGTGGAGCCGAAATGGCGACGACAATCTCGTCTCGAACGCCCGACTCTTCTCGCGAGTCTGTGGAGCAACAGAGGTCGGATCCCATTTCCGACATTTTTCTGGTTCTTTCGCGAGCTCTTTCCGTATCTGCCTGTTTTTCTCCCGCTCTTGTTGTCTGGCTTCCTTTGCCTGACGTCTTTGCTCAGTTTTGCCTCCCGCTGCCTTCTCTTCTCCAGAGCGAGAACTTTGAGGTTTGCCGCCTTTTGCTGTCGCTCAAACCTTTGTCGTTCTTTCTCCAAGGTTCTTGCTTCTGAGTCTCCATGGCTGCTTTCTTCAAGCGCGCTTGGGCCACTTTTGCAGGGCTAAATACCTGCGCCGAGTTAGGATCTACACGATCGAAAGGTAATCCTTCAGGCTTTACCGCGCATTCTGCGCTGCTTTTCGTGAAAGATAGTCTCCCGAAGTCCCTGATTCTCATATCGAAGCAATTCGTTCTGAGATTGGAGACTTTCGAAGTACTTTGAGCTTCCGACTGTCTCGGCTAGCGTTTTTGAGGATCCATCGACTACCTTGTCGACAAGTCGGCGCAAATCGAGCAGTGGGCTGCTGCAGGGCGAGCAGTCAACGGGCTGTCGCCAGACTCAGACTCATCTTCTGTTTTCTCCGCGATCTGCGACAAAACGACTTCAGGGTCAAATGGGAGGAGTCCGGTCCGTTTCCAACCACTTGCGATGTTCTCCGCCGAGAAGATGACCCGAATGCGTTCCAAATAACGACCAGAACTCGCGTTTCGATAGCCCGATGAGTCCCTGTGTCTTTGCAGTCCACTGGATGAGCTGGTTGGTGTATGCGGTCGAAGAGGGCCAAAGGGACACATCAAGGGCTGCAGCCTGTGCGTGGAATGCGGCGGAAACACGGCAACGATTATCCGATGCTGGTCACACCACTCCAGGAAGTCCATATTGACATGACTAGAGTGTCCGTCGGTAATCAGGAGGCGGTAATCCCGCCGTTTCGCGCCTTTTCTTTCGTGAACCGGTCGAAAACACCAATGAGCCATTCCTTTCCAAGTTCATGGTTCGTCCAACCCGTTTCTGAGGTTGTGAAAAACGCCGCTGGTGCTCCGGATCAAACTCCGTGAGCCAGGAGTCCTGAACTTGCCCTGGCTTGCCTTGGTAGATGAGAGCAGGGGTAGCGCGGTCAGGTCTTGACAGACACATGCCAGGAACGTGATCCATGATCTGTTGCCATCCTGCGCAGCACCGATCAATTTTCCTTGCTTCTTGGCACGAACAGAGAATACTCTTGGTACGATTGATGACGCCGAGGAAAAGCCCTTTTCGTCCACATTATACGTGTTGCAAGGCAGGATGTCGTATTTCTCGATTTTCTCGCCAATCTTGTACGATCAGCAATGAAGGATGGACTTGGGCTGCCACAAGCTCATAGTAGGCTCTGTATCTAGAAGCATTGTCTGCTCTCTTTCTTGCGATATCAAACCGTCAGTCGGTGCAACTGAGCTGTCATCGCTGTTACGTCGGACAATGTGGCAGTCCTTTCCGACCTCAATTTTGGCGATATCCTGGGCAAAACTTTTGATCATCGGCAGCGTAGGCGGAATCCCACGTGATGAAAGCTTGCGAATATACGCAACAAGATCCCTTTCTTGCTGTTTTGAGACGTGACTTATACAAACTGTCGGCATCCCGTCTTGACCTCTGTTTGCCTTGGTGTCGCCGTCGCAGAGTGATCGTCGCAATTGAACTGACGCGCAGTCTTGGCATAGTTAACAGTGTCCACAGCTTCAGAAACTCAAGCGCTTCATCAATCAGGGCCATGGTGGTGGAGAAATTCAGGATTTGGAGACGTGAACTGGCGAATCGGCGAATCGCCCGATCCGGCAGATCACCGGAAATCCCTATACGGCCGAATATGCCTCTAACCCAGCTGTTGGGTTGTGGCTGTGTAAAGCGTGAAAAAGGAAGGTTGGTGAGGCTTGTAGATACTGATGTGCCAGTGTGACGTGCAACATACCCCTCAGGTTGAGCCTGAAGATGAGGGCTGAAGGGTCAGACTGAAGAAAACTAGTAGTCCGAATCATTTAAATCATCTGATAGTTCAAGAATCGAAGAAATGTCGACGAGGTTGAGGCGTTTGACAGAATCTTTAAACTTCTGGCCTGGAAGCGGCTTGGTGAGACCGTCAGCAAGCATGAGAGCTGTTGGAGTGTATTTGATGTCATAATGCTTCGTTGATAGGCGCACAGGCGCAGAATGAATATCAACAGCGCTTGAGTACTGTGGAGCCGTGGAATGTCTTGGGATACAAGACGAATTGTCTGAAAGTTATCACACTGAATCATTGGCTGGCCGTCAAACTAATGAGCTGCATGAAGAGCGCATGGTTGCAATGGTTTTATAGCAGTGTGAGTGAGGGCAGGAGCTCGGCTTCAGTGGATGACGTTGTGACGGTATCCTGCTGCTTTCAAATGATTGGCCCGCCGAAAGGGTGAGAATGCATCCTTGCAGGATGTTTCTGGTTTGTTTGTCGTCCGCAAGGCTGCATCAGACGCGATTGAAATCACTTGTGTGTTGGTTTCGAGGGTGATGTTGGGGCGGATATACCTGCGGTGCGGGATCCGAAATTGAAATGGGTTCCATTGAGTCTGAGAACTCAATTGCGAGATACCTCGTGGCGTAGAGATACTCAATCAAATGGTCTACCGCCGAATGGTGTTCAGGGTTGAGGAGGATTCTGAGAGTTTTGAAGCTGCCTTAGCTATGTCTTCGGAGCAGTGATCACTGATGCATTACAGGTGACTTTGCCTTGGTAGAGCTGAATTTCGTCATTAGATTGGCTGTAACTCATTTGTGGGAAAGGACGCCTTTGAC